ATATATAAAATAAAAATAATAAATATATAAATGCTATAAAAATTTTTTAAAAATTTATATTTTTAGTAATGCTTATTGATAAGCTTATTATAACAGTAGACATATTTGCTATTCTATTAATTAGAGATATATGTATATTTGTAAAAAAAAATATAATTTCTTTTTATATAAGACTGCTGTTAAATATCACATAAGACAAAAGCTAATAATTTTTATCAGAAACTCGTTAATTTGTGTACTTATTTTAAATATTATTTATGTCATTAACATTGAAATATTATTATGAATTGGATGCTACAGTATCTACTTTATATAACAATATATATTCAGCATTTTATTTCCTTCCCAGACAGCACCCAATATTTATGGAAATATTCATATATATATATATATATATATATATATATAGCTTTTTATAAAAATATTTAAAATAGTTATATAATATTTCAAAATAATATATAAATAAATATATATATATATATATATATATTTATAAATTTAACGTATAAGACGGGCAACAAGAGCCAAATCGCGGATGACAATGCGTTATCCTAACGAAACTAAATAATTTTTTCGTTAGAATTAAATACCGGTGCACAAGGCACCAAATTTTACTTGGACACGGCCAAGATTTTAAATATGAGATTATTTCATATTTAAAATCTTGGCCGTGTCCAAGTAAAATTTGGTGCCTTGTGCACCGGTATTTAATTCTAACGAAAAAATTATTTAGTTTCGTTAGGATAACGCATTGTCATCCGCGATTTGGCTCTTGTTGCCCGTCTTATACGTTAAATTTATATTTATATTACAGAGCCTTGTTAAAACTCTTATATTGATACACGCTGGCTTAAAAAATGCGTTTGTTTACCAACATTAATATATATAACAGAGAAAAGTATAGAATCGAAAGGATCTGAATAGCTCAGCTGGAAGAGCAGTCGCCCGGCAAGCGAAAGGTCTCGGGTTCGCTTCCCGATTCAGCGATTTTCGGATCTATATTTTTCTCTTGCATTCATTTATTTATTTTCCGTAGGGGGGTTAAAAGGGGTATTGAAATTAAAATCTCAAATATGAGATTATTTCATATTTAAAATCTTGGCCGTGTCCAAGTAAAATTTGGTGCCTTGTGCACCGGTATTTAATTCTAACGAAAAAATTATTTAGTTTCGTTAGGATAACGCATTGTCATCCGCGATTTGGCTCTTGTTGCCCGTCTTATACGTTAAATTTATATTTATATTACAGAGCCTTGTTAAAACTCTTATATATATATTTATATATTATTTTGAAATATTATATAACTATTTTAAATATTTTTATAAAAATATTTATTTTACACATTTTTAAAATATAGATTAAATTTTTCATTTATTATTTATGGTAAGTAAAAATAAATATTTATAGTAATTATTTTGTAAATATTTCTTAACTCTAATATCGTTAATTCTTTCATTTATTTTCATTTATCTTTGATTTATTTTATCATGAATACATTCATTTATCACTTAATTTTATTTTGAATAACTCAGTCAAACTGATAACCCTTGCGATGATAGTCTCTCGATGTTAAGAATATAATGCAAATATATAAATAATTCAATTTAATATTCCATGTACATTTACATTTTCATATATGTTATAACATTGCACTTAAAATATTTCGACAACAAATAAGCATGTGGTAATCAACCTTGGAGTCGTCAATAAAAGCGCGTAATTATTGTCAGTCGAGCTTTCACACTCGAGCAATAAAGACACGCATAAATTAAACGCTTTGCATACTGTGAAATACTTTTTCTACGACTGCGTTTGATGTAAGAAAACTATTTTATATAATAAAATTATTAACAAATTATTAATTAAGAGTTTAACAAGGCTCTGTAATATAAATATAAATTTAAAGATATAAGACAGGCAGTAAGAGCCAACTCGCGGATGACAGTGCGTTATCCTAACGAAACTAAATTTTTCATTAGGATTAAGTATCTGTGCACAAGGCACCAAATTTTATTTGGTCACGGCCAAGATTTAAAATATGAAATAATCTCATATTTGAGATTTAATTTCAATAACCCTTTCACCCCCCTACGGAAATAAGTAAATGCAAGAGAAAAATATAGATCCGAAAGTCGCTGAATCGGGAATCGATCGGAAAATTATTAATTTGTACAATTAAAGTGTAATTAGATACGCCTATCGCGATGCTAAATATCGAAACACATTTGTCGTGTATACTCATTAATATATAATTATATGAATATTAATCCATACTTAGAAATTTTAAGGTAATTTAATATTCCATGTAAAATTATGTATATTCATATACGTTATAATATATACTTAAATTATGCAGCCATAAATATTTCATTTATATATTTAGCTAATATATCATCTGCAAATTAATGTGGCACCACGAACATGCCAGCGCAATCATATGTATTTTTATAAATATTATACTAATTTATTTCTTTACATAGATTTGTTAATATTAAATTTTAATTGAAAAACAAATTTTATTGTTTAGATAAAAAAATTTTTTGTAATATTATTCGTTAAACATACAGTATTTCTTCCCAGCTATTTTAACAAGTAATATGTATATAAAAAATTTATATCACGCAGATTTTGTTATTCCTGTTGACACAATGTCTCTACACCTTCCACGAGAAGTTTCGCATATCTTTGGAGAAGCAGTCCAGAAATGCGCGAGTTTATTTTCAGTGTAAATCCTACGTGTTGCGGGGCAGCGTCCGATCAGCTTAAAAAAGGCACCTCTATGCCTCTGTTGCGCGTAGGATTTTTAAGAACACACGGAGAAAAGCTTTTCGGAGTTGTGTATCGAGTGTCACGCGGGTTTTGGGAATTTTGTCAAAGCTCGCTCAGACTCTCTGATTCATTCGGCGAAGGAGCAACGTCTGGTCATCGCTTCGTTCGTCCATGCCCTCTCTCTAGTTGGGGATTAGTCAAATCCAAAAATAATATCGCACGGCGATGTAAATCAGAGACGTTCTGCATGAGCTCTCAGAACTCGAGATAGCTACGATGTTCAACGTAATAGAATTATGCTCCACCGAGCGCAGATAATGCGTGGAATTATTACGGAAATAAATATAATCGAGTATCACAGTTGAACAGATACGACTTATCGAGGACGACGTTTATTTGACGCCTCGAATAAGATTTCGCGCGTCATCTATTAATATCGCAGCTCAGCTGTGACTATCGGCAGCTGAAACAGCGAGTGTATAAAACACAGATCTAAGAATAACATACAAAAATAGTTTTACATTAGTATCTTTAATACTATAGCTCATCGATCAATAATGAATGAATAATGAATAAAGGACGAATAAATTATGTAATAACAAATTAATCGGAACAAAATTAGTCGTTCTTTTTTATAATTTTTTGCATGAATACGAATCTGGTTTCCAAATTATTTTATCATAATTTTTGTTTATTCTGTCACGTCAGAATTCTGAGATATTTTTAATTACAGTTGCAAAAAAAGGGTTTTTTCACGGACTGTTATATTATAGCTGCAATATATAACGTGCTACAAAAGTTTTATTGTAATCAAAATAAAGTATATTGTTAGGGCAACCCTCAAAAGAAATTTTTAATATCGATCAATCGATTTATCAAATAAATTTCAATTATATTTATTTAATCTTAAAGGTATTTTAGATCACTGAATACGAATTCAGTGTCAAAATAGTCAAACTTAATATGGCAGATTTATATTAAAAAAATTATTTTAATTTTAACATCCCCATATTGAGTACTATTTTGAATTTGACAATTTTTGACATTGAATTCGTGTTCAATGACCTAAAAAATTCTTAAAAGTTTAGTAAATCAATGACCTACTTGTAAGTCACAGCTAACTTTCGCAACGCAGCTTATATTTATTCATGAATACTTTATTAGTCGACACTAAAAATTCTTTTTGAGAGCCCTTTTGAGAGTTTCTGTTAAAAGTCCTAACAAGATACTTAATTTTGATTGCAATAAAACTTGTCCAGCACGTCACATATTATTGTTATAATATGACAAAATTTATGAAAACAGCCTTTTATGCAATTTTAATTAAAAATTTCTCAAATGGTGGCATGATGGAACAGTTTGGAAACCAGATTCGTATTCAGCATTCAAAAAACGACTAGTCTCGTTCCGGTGGTCGAAAAAAAATTTTTTGTGTAACAGTATAATTAACATTAATTTGCGGTTTTTACTACAGTTAAATTATTATATACTAAGCTTCCGAGCTCGAACAGAAACCAACCGCACATTTTGTTAAATATTCATTCTTCCCGTTTCAAATTTCTCCAAATATTTGTCTAGATATTCAGATGCAGTCTTTAATTATAAAATACAGAACCGCTAACTATGCGCTTATCACTTTCAGTTCCGAACATTTTTACGTGGAACACAGTCTGAGATAACCGCAATTATACAGGGTATCCGGTAACTAACGGACCAATGATTAAGGGCCTGGCCAATTTGGAGACAAAGCAAAAATGTTGAGAAGTCAATAATTTTCGAATTATAAGCAATTGAAAAAAATGGGTTTTTTGAAAACTAAACGTTTTGGAGTTAAAAGTCTAACATAATTACATTCTTTAGTTAATTTCAGGTAGAGTTTACTATAATAAAATTTTAATTTGAGGCTTAGTTATAAAGATACATAATGACAAATATTGGAAAGTTGTAAAAAATGATGACCTTTTTCGACATTTTCGCTGAGGAAAAATCGTTCCCAAATTGACCAAAGAATCCATTTGTGATCGTTGGTCCGTTAGTTACCGGACACCCTGTATATATATATATTTTTTTTTTCACGAAGCCGCATTGAAAAAGAGCGCATTAAATCCGTATTCTTCTGTTTTGATTTCGGTCGGCGCGTGGTGTGCAAAGTGGACTTGAAAATAACCCCGCCAACGGGAGGACCACCCAATCTATTAATAGATCACCGACGTAAGTATCTTTGTCGCCGGTTCGGCACCGACTACGCACGGTTTGACCGCAAAATCCGCGGTGCACGTGCATCATCATCATCGTTGTCGTCGTCGTCGAGACCCGAAGACGTCGTCGTGACGTCGCATCCAACACCCATCATCATCCAATCATCGTCCACCAAAATCCACAGCGAACCTGAGAATTGGGAGCTGCCGGGTTAAAAGTGGCGTAGAAGAAAACGTAAAAACCGAGAAACACGAAGAAGAGAAAGTCCGCTTGGTCCCGTCTCCAAAGAGAGGTTTTCGGCTCTCGCGACGGCTTCAGCAGAACTTAAAACCGCGAGTTTCGAGTGAATCTAAATAAAGAACTGTGTATATGCAGCGCGAGGATTGAGGTGCCGGGGACCAGGAGGCGCGTGCCTCCCGGGATATGCGAGAGTGAGTAAGCATGGTACAGAGCGCATCATCCCTCAATGGTGCACCGAACGGCGAAGGTGGTAGAGGAGGAGGAGGAGAAGGTGAAGGAGAAAGAACATCCAACGTGATCACCGTCGACGGCGAGTCTTCGTCGACCTCTTCCCTGACGCGCGGCACCGGCAACCGGTTCTCCCTGTTCAGGTGGTTCAGGTCGCGGAACAATCGCGACTCTACCGTGGAGAAGCGACGGAGAACCGATGGAGTCCGACGCAGCAGCGTCTACTCCAGCGCGGAGAGCGTAGACACCTTCTACAGCACCACCACGGTCCGCAGTTTCGCGTTCCACGCGGGCACCCTGGACCGGTGTGACGTGCAACTGTCCTTGGACATCCTTGGACACCGAGCAACCGAGGTTGGTCCCTTTGCCGCGGGAGCCTCGAAGGTCGGCAACAAGGAGAACACCAACGCGGCCGCCTGCACTTTACCCATTAACGTGCACTCCAGGCGACGGAACATCACCGCCAGGTACTCGCTGCATCCGTCGACGACCTTCGCCTCCTGCGAGAATTTCCCATCGCCCGAGAAGGCCTCGAGGACCGGAGGACGGAGGATACACGTGAAGGGCAAACGAAGGGCGCCGAATCCTCCCGCGGTGATCAAGATCGTGGAGGTCGATGTACGGGAGACACCCGCGAGGAACAGCAACAGGCGGAAACGACGGGCCCCACAGCCGCCGGAGAGGTCGACGAATCATCCTTCGGCCGAGGAGCAGTCCGGGAGGTCGCTCATCATCAATGGCGGTGATGGTATGGAGCTGAGGAATGTCGAGGAGAGGCAATCCATCAGCAACGACACGCTGGTTCTCCAAGGCGGGATGCTGCTGTCGAAGAAGGAGGTTCGCGGCAGCCCGAAAGCGGCGAAGAGCAACAAAGCTGATGATCCTGGATCCAGTGTCTTGAACCCCCGGGAGAAGACCACGCGGACTTCGATCGGCTCCACCTTGGCCATGCCGCGACCTTGGTACAAGCGCAGCGTGTTCGAGCACTCGTCTCATCGCGACGCAGGCTCGTTCTCCAGGAAAGGAGGTCCAGCGACGTCAGGCTGCGAGATGAGGGAGAAGTGCGTCGGAACGAGCGCGAGTTACTCCGTGGATTCCACGTCGAGGCTGAGCTTCTTCCATCGCGACGACAAGAAGCGACAGGAGGCGAAACGAAGATCCGGCCTGTCGATCCTGACGAACATCAGCGAGCTCGACAAGGAGGCGGCGGCGATCGTGCAGGAGGAACAAGCGCGCGCGCGAGCGTCGATGTTGCTGAAGACGTCCAAGTTTGCGGACGAGTTCGAGAGGAGGAGCGACGTCAACGAGGAACTCGTCCAGGATATGGTTACCTCGGCGATGGAGAACGCGTCACCCCGTCGGGGCGCTCGCGCACTCATCTCCAAGTTTAACGCCATCAGCAACATCACCAAAGTCACAGTTAATGCCAATTTCTTCGCTAAGAGGGATCAATCAGATTACAAGCTCGAGCGAGACGTGACGAGGAGCAGATTCGAGCAGATGGGGGATTGGAGGAGCCAGAGATTCTCGGCGCAACAGGATCTCGGTCAAAATATTCGCGTCGATAGAGACATCTCCAGGTACTTCCTGCCTCAGCAGAGGTCATCGAGGAACGAGGCAAAATTGACGGATATAAATTCGGTGGATGTAAAAACTACGTCTAGCAAGGAGCTGTCGGAACGAACTGGAGCGAACTGTCAAAACGATCAGCTGATGAGGGAGGCGTCTGACAGGATATCGTTTCTGCAAAGCCAACTCGCTGCGAATCGCGCGAGCGAGTCTCTGGCTGTTCAAAAGGACATTGCATTATTGTCGGAAGAGAAAATCAGAGTGCGACAGGAGATCGCGGAAGAAAAAGGAAAAGGATCGCCGAGGCTGAACAGCGAAACTGGTAGAAAATTTTTGCTGTCCCGCGCCCGTAACTTAGTCGAAAGCATGGAAAGTGCGTTAGATTCCGAAAGAGACATCAGGACGAAAGGAACGGGAAGACAGAAAGAATTCTCGAACATATTCGACGAGATCGATCGGAAGTTACGTTCCAGGGAGTTGAAGCTCGGGGAAGAGCGGAAAGACCGCGTCGGGGACAAAGTTCCGGAAGACGAAGCCGTATCGAGCAGAGTGGCTAAAGTGCTCGACATCCTGGTGGAAGCTGAGAAGGATGGCAGGACGAGATCGGCGGCGCAGCCGGGAAGATCGATGCGGGACAAGGAAACGTCGCGTTTGATTAATTCGAGCCAGCAGACCGAGTCCGGTAAGACAAAATCGACCGTTCTCAATACCGTCGAGGATCCAATTACGGTGGATCTGAAGGAGATGCTGAAGGAGATGAAGCACTCGTTGCCGAAGCGGCCTAAATCGAGGAAGCCTATGTCGAGCGACGTCGATGCGGTGGTTCTCGAAAAGGCTGATAAGCCCGTATCTGCGAGCAAGTCGAGCGATTACGAGGCGGATAAGCAAAAGGTGTCCTCGTCGGCCCAAACCAGTGGAAACATCCGTAGATTGAATCAGCCTTCTACGTCCGCCGACGCGCGACCGTCTACGTCTGCGGGTTGGAAACACGAAAACGTGCTCTACAGAACTTCCGGCAAAGGCTCGGCTCTTGTCAAGAATACTTTCCAGCTGATACGACCGCGCGATTTCGCCGAGATAGAGGCTACGAAGACCACGAGGGAAATTGGAAAGGAAAACACTTATGCCAATATGATGGAACCGTCCTTGTATGCCAATGCTCACGTTCCTCCTACCTTCTCGCCGAAACAATCATCGCCGAATTCGACACCATCTAAGGATATTTCGAGATGTAATCATGTTAAAGCATCGCCCAATATTGTAAACGAGAGTAAAATGCTGAACGATGAAGAATTTGTAGAAGAAGGTAAGCTTTACATATTACATTTACAATTTACAATTACAATTACATTTATAATTTGGAATTACATATTTTACTTTTTTACAATTACATATACATATATATTCATTAAAAACGAAAATTATATTTGAATTATTCATCCTAAATAAAAATAATAAATTAATTAATATAAAAGCTTTAGAAGAAAAAATCAACAACTTCAGAAATAAATTGTTACTGCTTTCTCATAGAGAAAGCTTTGTTTTCGTAAAAAAAAATCGCTAAAAAGATTCATTTTTTTATAAATTTGAATTTTTAAGAAAGGTGCATTTTTTAATTGTTCCAAATTTAGAGATAACGAGCTAATTTTTTTATGAATAGAGCATTATTATAAAGTACTTTTGGTACTGAATTTTATTTGTGAGAGTTTATTTTTTATTGAAATTTTGAATTTCTCAAAAAATATTAATTTTCGAATTTTATAAAAGAAATATACCTATAAAAGGAACATATAAAAGTAAGAGAACATATACATATATACATACATACATATACGTGACAAAAAATATTATTTTACGTGAAAAAATTGTACAAGTTTCCAATTTGCATCTTAATTTTTTAAAATTTATTAAAAGCAAATTAATGTTTTTCTTGCAGACGATAATTCAGCGGCGAAGAACATGAATACTCTGGATATTAATCGATTACTAAGAAAGCTGGAAGGAGCAATCGCGTCGGGCCATCATCAACAAGCAGCTGGATTAGCGAAGGAATTGGCAAGGCTTAAAATCCATTGTTCCGTGATACGACAACGTTCGGCGGCGCGTTTGAAGGATCAATCGATTAAAGTCAACATGTATATCGAAGACAAACTTGCTCACCAAGGGCCCATTCCGCTTCAGGTAATTTGACATACTGATGATTACTCATCAGGTAGCAAGCATACGTCATTTTGATGTCGAATGATCATCATGATACGTCATTAGACGTCAAAATAACGTTATCTTGACATTTAATAACGTCAGTTTGCTATTTCAGTCAATATAAAATAATTTTAAAAATCTGTTTCACGAACTATACAACAGCTACCAACGAGGATGATGATAGCCGAACTGAAGACAAAGGTACAGACGGAGTTTGAAATTCCCACGAATGTGCAGCGCTGGATCATCGGGAAAAACTTGGCCGATCATGACGAGGCCACCCTCGACGAGTTACATGCAGTGGATGGTTCACCGGTGTTCCTTTATCTCGTAGCACCCGGTAATTCAATTATTCACATGCATATATATATATGCAGGGTGTTCCAGAATTAGCGGATCGCATCTGTTTTAATGGCAGATTCCTGGGATAATTTTGAGATAATTTTTTCTCTCAGCGAAAATATCGAGGGAGACCATCTAAGCCTTAAATTAAAATAAACTTTAGTTAAAATTAATTGAAAAATGTGATTTTTGTTAATATTTTATTTTTACGAAGCTCTTAGTGGTTTTTGCAAAAAACCTTTTTATAACTCGAAAATTATTGGTGTCTCAATATTTTTGCCAAGGAAAAATCGTCTCTAAATAATCCCAGGAATCTGCCATTAACAAATAATCCGCTAATTCTAGGACATTCTGTATATTTAGTTCAAATTATATTCAAATAAAACAAAAGCGCCTGTTCCATTCTAAAGAAAAAAGAAATATACTGAGTGTTCCAACTTTATCGTACCATCCGTTTATAGAAAACTCCTGAAGTTATTTGGAGACAATTTTTCTCAGCGAAAATGTCGAGAAAGGTCATTATTTTTTTAATGTTCCCAATTTTTGAAATCATGTATTAATTTTTGTACCTAAGTCTTACAAAATTAAAGTTCTATTAAAGTGAACTTTACCTGATATTAATTTAAAAATATAGTTTTGTTTAATAATGTACAATATTTTCACAAGTCTTAATTTACAAAAAGCTTTTATTTTCAATCATTTTATTATTTGCGCCTGGACATTTTCGCTGAAGAAAAATCGTCTCCAAATTGCCTCAAGAATCTCCCATTAACACAGTAAATCTGTACACTCTCTATAAATAATGTAATAAAAAATATAAGTGCATAAGACAATAATGAACAGAAAAGTGATTATTTTATAATTTATAATATATTTTTGTATATAGAATTACATGTCGACAATACGGAACCGAATAAGCCAACTGTGGAAGATAAAGTTCTTGAAGAATTGCCGGAAGATCCACCAACGAACTTGCAGATAATCGAAGAAGCTCAAGAGACTGTCGAGACAGAAGAAGCAACAAATGAGCATGAAGTATATATATATATATATATATATATATATATATATAATAATAATACACATCCTCGAATTCTTTTGTTCTACATTGCACACACAGCTTATCGTCACTCTTCATTTCTTTCTCTGTACTAACAAGTGATACATATATTGACTAAAGGGAAGGATCGATACATTGCGTATATACATTTTGATATCCTTGCTACAATAGGGAGAACCAGCAGAAACAGACGTATCGGAAGATGTCAAGATGGCCCGATACGAGGAACTGATATCGTTGGAGAACTGGGACGTCATTCCGAATTCCGAGTCAATTGAATGCCCAATATGCTTTGTTACATACGGTCCGCGCGAAGGTGTAATTCTGAGGGATTGTTTACACATGTTCTGCAGGTAGGAAGCCCTTAATCCTCCTCTTTACCAGCTTTAATTATTATTTAATTCTGCAAAGTACAGGAACCGCAGGGTCGTGCTCATAGATTTTTGTCCCGTTTGTATTTTCCTTTTTTTTTTATAGTGACAATTTATAATGAATCACTTTCGCTCATTATAAAACTGTTTGCCGCGAACACATCGATTTTAATTTGTCGCGTCGCGCGAAATACATATATATAATATATATATATATATATATATATATTTTTTAGCTCGCTCGAATGTCTAAATGTGTATATATTGCATATCGCGCATGTATGAGATGCATCATATTTGTAAATTTATCTGCTTTATAATACTGATTCATGCTGATTCATGCGCATTACTAATGTGGCAATAATAATTATGCTAGCATTACTGCAAACCACATTACACGCATGACTATGATAGATTGTGCGGAAAAATATTTCATAAAAGAAAAAAAGGAATGCGTGCAGCCTACAATTATATTTTTTTTTTATCTGCGCACTATAATTAAAAACGTGTGTGTCAACGTATAACAAATGAGCTTCATCGTATATAATTCCCAGGCCGTGCATTGCAAATACGATCGCGTACTGCGAGGAGGCGGAAGTGAAATGTCCGTACAGAGATGTCGATTATACGTGCGAATCGACTCTTCAGGAACGCGAGATCAAGGCGGTGAGCTTCTCTCATCTTCGATCGCCCTAAGTTTCAATAAAGTGGATGATCCTATTAATTATTGATTATTATTACACCTGCAGCTCGTCGAACCGGAAGTTTATCAGCAGCACCTGGCGAAATCGATCACGCAGGCGGAGAACAACGCCGGAAACAAGGCCTTCCACTGTAAAACGCCAGACTGCCCTGGTTGGTGCATTTACGACGATGATGTGAACAATTTCTTGTGTCCTGTGTGCGGGGCCAATAATTGTCTCACTTGTCAGGTAAGCGCTATACAATAAAATGTCTACTCGATCTTGTAAAAAAATTAGCCGAGAATTCCTTGATTAAAAATCATCCCAAGTAAAATAAGAAAATGTCTAGATATAGCTTTTTAAAACAGTTTTTTTAATATTTAATATTGATTAATTGTAAAATTAATTTTTGGCAAATAAGTGCGATATATCACTATATTTAAACGCTATATGCGAAAATATAAAACAAAAAATAATTTATTATAAACGTCTTCAGGAATACTAATTTGTTTAAATTAATTCTTTATTAAATAAATAAGTAGTAATAATTTTTTAAAAATATTTTACCTATTAAAAGATTGAACAACATTTCTATGAAACTTACATATAAGATCTTGTGTAATACTAAAAATAAATTGTCAATTAAAAATCACATGTTTAATAAAAACTTATATATGGCAAAGATATGTTAAACTCAAGTTTCTTAAGTGCTAAAATAAATAAAATTAAAATTATCAAAGGGGCAAATCTTTTTTAATTCTCTGAATCCAATCAAATTTCACGAGAATTCCTTTGATTTTTCAAAATAAAACAAAATTCCCTGAAAATACTAGGTTTTCAAAGGAATATATATACCCTAGCTGTAACGTCTACTGCAAGAAAATACAAAGATAAATTTAGAAAAATAAAAGTATACGAAAATTTTTACAATTGCATAAAATATTGGCTTTTATCAAAATTAATATCACGTAAAAAATCTAATCTTTATCCAACCGCTCTTTCTTTTATCGTACAATATTATCGAACAAATTTAGCAATCACTCAAATATATAAAATAATTATTTAATATATATAATAATTATATATAATTATTATAATAAATATATATAATAATTAGTATAATATATATATATATATAATTATTTAAAGCAAACCAAAGATCCTTAAGAGTGCATAAACTTTAATTTTCCAGGTTGTTCATGCTGGGAAGAATTGCAAGCAGTATCAGCAAGAGTTGCAATTTTCGAAAGAGACCGACCAGGAATCTAGAAGAACAGCTGCGATGCTCAAGGAGATGGTCGATAGAGGTGAAGCACTTGCCTGCCCCACGTGTGCAGTCGTACTTATGAAAAAATGGGGCTGCGATTGGCTGGTGTGTTCCATGTGCAAAACGGAGATCTGCTGGGTCACCAGAGGACCACGTTGGGGTCCAGGGGTAAATTGGATTAATTTATTTTTTTTTGCAATTTATCATGGTTATTAAGGACCTTTATATTAAGCTCTAACAAACGTAGACTTGTTAACAATTAACGACATCGTTACGTTCTGCGCTTCTATCGATCGTAACTTGTTACTTGTCACAGGGTAAAGGGGACACATCCGGTGGCTGCAAATGCGGTGAAAACGGAGTCAAGTGTCATCCTCGTTGCAATTACTGCCACTAAAAAGTTACAATGAGCGAACGCGACACGTTTACGGTGACGAGATATCTTAGAAATGCTTTCGTATTATTTATGTTAAAACATGACGTATTACAAATTCGACGGTGTGTGAAGGTGCCTTTGATATGCGTTTAATAAATAAGTTGAAACTCGAGATAAATCAATGTGCGACAGAAGTTACACACCGCTTGCTCAATGATTAACTTTATTGCGACGCTGTCCTCGATGGAGATTTGTAAGTGAGATTATAATAAATTGAGAAATTTGTACCAGAATCTCTTATTCTTACCGCAAATACAAGATATAGAAATAAACTGTAATTTTTACTTAAAGCTTTAGATCTAAGATATATAATAAATTACCGAGTAAGAATTATATATATATATATATTTATATATATATATATTTATATATTTTGCAATTATACAGGCACCGATTCTTCGTTCTCACCGGAAGTTGTTTCGTTTGTACCGATCTGTTTTAATCGCGCGATTAATGTGGATTGATGATATGTGAGCTGCTGATTTAAGTTGTTGCCGCCTGCACTCTGTAACAACTGAACAAGCTGGATCCGCGCAGTTGTAAGATCCATTTTGCCGTATCTCAAGAAGTCATCCTTGCTCAAGACTTGTCCCTCCAGGATGCCAGCTGTAAAATATATACGCAAACATTAATTATAATATCAATGATTTCCTTATTTTAATATCTCTTGAGAAAAGTTACTCTTACCCAACAGAATGACTTGTGGACACTTTTTGACAATTTTTTGAAGGTCGGTGATATTTGTGTCGGAACCGAATATAAGACCGAATGATGATCTATACAATGGCAACGTCACTGCGTAAGGTGAATTGGTCAACGCTAATTTCATAAGTTTTTGATTATATTGCTTGTAGTACATGTTCGCCCTTTTTAATGGAACTCGGAGCTCAAACAGGTCCTCCTGCGTTATAGAATTTTGATGGCAAATGGCGACCATTTTGGAAGTGTCGAACCAGTTTCGAATCTCACGCGCTATTATTTTTTCGTAAGGATTTGCCATCTCTTCCAATTCCTTTTTTCTTCCAGCTTTTATTGCCTTGTGACATAGTTCCTCCAAATTCTTGCCTGCGTTTTTAGGTGGATAAAAAGGTGTCATAAATTTGTTCACCAACGCTCTGTAATAAAACGGCGCTCTGGGTTTTGTATATTAATTTTGCCTCGAAAACGTTTCTGTTGGTAAAAGATTACGTTGGGAGTAATCTGAAATGCTGAAACACACAATGAAACAATATCGTTAAATTCTAGAAAAATTCATTGAAAAAGAAATTAAGGCTCCTGGGTACTTGTCGCGGTGTTAAATTGTGACATCAGAAGCGAAAAAATACACGTTCAAAATTCTTGCGTGTCATTTTTAGAGAAAAAGATATTTTGATGAAACACAATCTGAACTGATGTTTCATCGAAATATCTTTTCATCTAAGAATGGCACGTAAGAACTTTTAGCGTGTGCTTTTTCGCCTCTGACGTCACAATTCCAATATGATTGGCAAGGGTCCCAAAAACCTTAATTAAAATTGTATACTTACCATAATTTTTGACTTTTTTTGGAACGTTTATCCTCAATGTCGCTCGACGTTTCATTACGAATTTAATAAATCGTAATTAGGTACGTTATTATTAGATCGGTGAGAACGAGATGCAAAGTTTCAGAAATAACAATAATCTTACTTTGAAATTCTATTAGTAATTTAATTTCGTATATAAACTATATGCAAGTGTCTTTATATCGTATTAAGTACATGATCCGAATATATATCAACTAAAGACGAGTACAAAATTATGTACATATACAGAATTATCAATTATCTTCATTTAATGATATAAGGCACTTTGGAACAGACCATATATACATATATATATATATATATATATATATATGTAGATAAAATATATATTTATATATGTGCAAAAATGTGTGTATATATATTTGCAGATGCACGAATATATGATATGTATATAATGTATATTATTTGCTTATACAAAATTCTATGCATTTAGCAAAAAAAATCATCTTTGCATCTACGCGATATAATTGATCGTTCCGCTGCAGTAATTGCTGGTTTCGTGCCTCGTCTCTATGCTATCACCGAAATTGAGCGATTTCCTGTTCTTGCCCAACCGCAGCAACGCCGACCGAATGCCGCCCTTTTTCCGCGAACGTTTGTATCGATCGTCCAAAGCTGAATTAAGGGAGGCCTGCTTTACGTCGCCGCGACTATTTGAAAAACCTTCCCGATCATCTTTGATATTATTGCTACTCGTAACTTGGCCGTCGTCCACGAGCCAGTGTTTCCTCGGCGAGAGAAACTTATTATTGCATCCTGGTATAGTGTACATGTATTCTGATTGAGCGGGATCGACAGACTTCTCGTAGTGCTTCACATTATTGTCGGTACTTGTATTCTCAGTTAAGGCCCCTTTAATTTTTGTATGTTTCTCAAAGTTTGACTTGCTGCCGCTCCTCTTAGAATAATCGTCCAGATCACCTGAATGATTGCTCGTTTGGCTGGTCGATTTCTGATTGATTTGCTCCGCGTTCTTGTTTTCTCTGCCCTCGCGTAACTTCTTGTTTCTCTTATAGGTGTCCGTGTTCTTAGCGTCGAGGGCGGCGTGTCGCTTCTCCGACATGCTCTGCCTACCGAGAGCGTCGCGAGAAAATTTGTTCGACGAAGAATTCAATTCCTCCAGAGATAATTGACTGTCGTACGTGGGATCCCCGGAATATTGACTGTCCTTGTCCTCGGCGTTTCGTCCTTTGGCGTCGTTTCCTTGGGAGCTATCGTTGTTGGATTCTTCCAATAATACCGATTCGATCCGATCATCGCGCGAGCCTATAGTCTTCTTTAGATTACCAACAGGTTCGATCCATGTATTATTGGTGGCGAGACAGTAGCTTTCGTTTCTTAGACTATTCTTGCTATATTGCTCCGTTAATCTATCAATGACAGGATTCCATGGTGAAGCTGTTACGCAAGACAATAGTCCTCCGTTGTCCAGTACATCTGTCTGAGAATTCAAAGTGTTCTTCTCCTTGACTATACCGTCGTTCGCCTTAGTTGAATCTGCTGATATGTATATGCTGCTGATGGATTCTTGTTTGCGATGAGACTGTAAATTATCTACAATATTCTTCTCACTTGTGTCATATGACGATACTCTTCTAGCTATTATAAGATTAATCACACCGGTTACTGAGCTGTTTGTATTAAGCATTGCCCTCCTTAAAGTTTCCATCGCCTCGGAATTAGACAGTCCCAATAAGGACACACCGTTGACCCTGAGCAATTGATCGTTGGTTCGTAGGCGACCATCTCTGGATGCTGCACCACCATGGATGACGCTCTTTATGAAAATGCCTAAATCCATATTAGTGTTGTCATCGGAACTGTTGGTCTTACCCTTCACGCTGACACCTAGACCAGCCTTCTCAGAATCATGCACTGGTATATCTAAATTTATTATCACGCGATTCTTTCGTAAAGATAAGACAACATCGTCAGAAGACTTCACTGGTTTATATGTGCATTTGTCATAAGTATGAGTACTTACTTTATCTTGTACATCATTCTTTTTCGTTGGTGATCTGTTTAATGCGTTCCAATATTTTGAATTATCCATTACCTCAGCAGTGGAAGTAGTGGATGTCGCTGTACTCTGAGAATCTGGAATGTTTGAAGAAATTTCTTCCTGCCGTGATACTATCATCCTAACTTTACCTCCAGGAGGAATACTTCTGAGCAGTGACACAACCTCTGCTTGACTTTTGCCAGTCATCTCTTTGTTATTTACTTCTAACAATCTATCACCCGGTCTAAGTCTGCCATCCTCCACGGCAGCACCTTTTGGTAATATATTCTTAATGTATATGGGACAATGTCCTCCAGCAGGATTATCACGTGTGGTAACGCTGAACCCCAAACCATTAGTTCCTTTAATTAGTTCTATCTCTATCATCCGTCCAATTTTCCTAGTGTTTGCGGTCTGTAAAAGGTTATAGTTGCTGCATTGAAGTCTCTTGATACTCTCATCTTCGGTCTTCTCCGATCCTCCGCTGGTATTTCCATAATTTTTATGCAAAGACTTTTCGTTCCTTATTTTCTTCTTATGCTTGACGATGGAAATTTGCAAACAAGGATCGTTCATGCACGTTCTGAAAATCTCTTGAACTTTTGAAAATGGTATGTGTAACAAATTATGACCATTAATCTTTATAATATTATCGTGCAAATCAATCTGTCCATCCCTAGCAATACGACCATTTGGTTCAATACCTTCGACTCGAAGACCCTGATCATTGCCTAATAAGTCGTAACAAGGTACCACATGGAGTCCCAGTGGTCCTGCTTCATTCTTTATCACAATTTCCCGTATCTCCTGTTCTCCAGATTCGATATTACTACCAAACTCATATGAAGTCTTGGAATCTTGGCCTAAAGGCTCCCTACGTCGAGACTCTCTAGGTAGGGACTGAGCAGAATACGTTGCGAGAGAAGGCTCTCTGGTTGACAACGCGTGCATTGACAACCGCTTGGTGCTCTCTCTCTTAATACTACTAGTAGGCATAGAGGAATGTATATCGATTGGATAAGTCTGCTCCTTCCCATCCGTATGGAAGTAATCAGGACTGTTCGTGCCGACCGAACTCGCCCCATCTCCCCCGATATGATTAACATCGGAGCTGACAAAGTGCGCCACGATCTGTTCCCTGTCATCTGCTACGTCGCACAATCTGTCGTCCGGGTCCAACAGACCGCCTCCGGTCAAGGAAGACAGGCTGTTGATGGTCAAAACGCTGTCGCTCTTCCCGGTAGCCTTTTTGTACCTCAGGATAGCCTCGTGCATCAGATCCCTTACAAGGAGGGTCCCATCTCCGCATGGGACCACCACCCTGACGTTCTCGAAGCACACGGTCACCTTCATGCTCGCTCCGATCTCATATTACGGGGCAGGAGCGACAGAGACGGCCGCGGAAGTTTGACAGCTGGTCCACGCGCGGTTTGACGTTTGACAGCTAATCCGCGCGGTTTGACGTTTGACAGCTAATCCGCGCGGTTTGACGTTTGACAGTTCGCGCGTCCCGGAATACGCGCACAACGAGAGCGAAGTAAATGCAATTGACGCGTGGTTACTCGAGTCCTGGCTCCTCTCGTGTATATGATTCATCGACAGGGTCGGTTTTCAAACTCGATCTTTCAAAGCGTCGCGGATTCGGGCGACGCGGCAGAAGCCGCTCGAATCTATCTCGTCTCCGGACGACCGATAACGCGGACGCGTACGCCCAGCAACTTTATCACGACATCAAATACGCGGAATGGAACAGACGCACTCGCCATTACGACATTTCGTTCCGCCGTTCCTATCGGACGGACCGGAACGTCCGGAATTCAACATGGCGCCGCCAGGAATCACGAGTACCACCACCGGAAACTTGCGATCATGCGATTCTCAAGGGAGATTTATATGATTGTGCTGGGTGAAAATCGATTTAAATTATCCATACCTTTCTTCAGGCACTGCGTCATTTTTGAAGAATTCCTCCGCTCGATTGTGACGTTGATGAAAAGAATGCGAGAAATGTTCCTTCACAGCAACATCATTTGCCAGGGACCTCGTAGAAATGGTTCTAATCCGTCGTTCCTTGTTCAGAATGTAACCTAAAGGTGAATTTTTAACGAACGACGTTTCTCGATTTTGTCCCATTTAATATAAAGGTGCTTGTATTTATGATAAATCGTGAAATGAGGCTATTTTTTATATTTCTCGTTTTTATTTCTAGGTATCGTTATCTGATTTACATCTCATTCAGTATATATTTTTATATATTATGTATATATATATTTTTTTTTCAAAATATCTTCAATACGAAACAAATATTCAATAAATCACAATAAACTGATGTCATTAAATGTCAAACTGACATTTAATGACATCAGTTTTTGTGATTTATTGAAACGTCATTTTGACATTGACATCAGTTTGCTACTTAGGAAGTGATCTATTCTCTAATTCTCTGTATATACACATCACCAAATAATAATGCAAATTGAATTGTCCAGAAAAATTAAAACGTAATAATGTGTTTTGAATTATTATATATTTTATTTAATTTCTCCAATTTGAAAAATATTTTAATTATAGATATCAAGAATAAAAAAAATACAAAATTCGTAGGTGGGGGGATAAAATCATTAGTCATCGGATAGTGATGAACTGCGATTCATCGTGCAACGTATGTATATACCTATCTGAACCTGAACCTTACTCCGAGAATGTGAAACGTCAAATTCATCGTCATAAAATTTTCAGTGTATTCCTTCTGCGATTTATTACGTCATCGTGATATACATATTATTAAAAAGCATATAAAAGTAAAACGAAATAAATAAATATTCTCATAACAATGAAGTGGTTTACGGGAAATGTCACGGAGGCGGTTATGACATCAAAGTCAAGGAAGGCAGTTTTTGTTGTATTTATTGAAGGTGCGTATAATTGCAGCTTCAGGTTAAGTCAATTGCAAAAATCATTATTTTTGTTTAATCCGATGCAACTGATCATATATTCGCATATGCGAACAAAATACAAAATATGGATGCATTGATACACTTGATATTTGTATAAATTCAAATGTCTTTATATTAACTTTTGGTTGTTCAGGTAAAGATGACAAATCAGCACAGCTTGCTCAAACAATTGATGCTGTAGAAGTGTCCTCTCGCTTAGAAGAAGATTATTTTGTGGCTATAAGATTGGAGAGCGGATCTGAGGATTACAGCTTCTTTGCACAGATTTGTATCCTTTTATATAATGTGTTTTTTTGTTTTAAGATCGAGAAATTTTGTCATGTTTTCAAATTTTTTCCTTAAATTTAATAATCAGATCGATTTGTGCCAGTACCGTCCTTATTTTTCATTGGAGAAAATGGTATACCACTGGAAATTGTTGGTGATAACATAACTGCTGTCGAGCTAGCATCAAAAATCGATAGCATATTGATAAAGGCAGGAAAGGATAGTAAACAAGCTTCGTCAAACTTTATTGATGCAGAAGAGAGAGCTGCTAGTGTCAGTAGCACTAACGCTACTGGAGGTTCTGTTGCATCTGATATAAGTGACATAAGTAATAACTCTAATCCAAACATAGATTTAGCTTCAACTGTAACAGAATCTGTGGATAACATTTATGATAACAAAGATGTTATAGAAAGTGAAACTGTAAATACAGAGAACCAAGACAATAATGAGGCATCAAAGAAAAATGTTGAAACTAAACAAGCAAGTCAGAATCAGGAACTGACAGCCGAAGTATATAGACTATCAAAAATATATTCATAATAATCTTGAATTTGTGTGATATAAATTATATTTGTTGCATATTTTTAGGAAAAGCTGGAACGAGCACGACAGTTGATTGAACTGCAACGAAAACAACGATTAGAGGAAGAACAGAAAAAGGATCGAGAGCGCGAAATTGAACGGCGCAAAATGGGACGCGATGTACAAAAAATGCGACAGTTGCAGCAAGAGCTGAAAATAAAGCAAGCTGTTGAGGAAAGGAAGCGAGCAAAGGCTGAAGAGAACGCAGCTCGCGAAAAATCAGACAACAAATTGCTCAAGATAAGCTAGAACGGAAACAAAAGGAGCTTGCACTGCAGGTTAATATTATTTTAATTTATTTTATCATTAATTTTCACTTATATTACTTATATATATATATATATATATATATATATATATATATATATATATATTTTATATTATAACATTTATTTGTTATTCCTGTTTAAATTTAACTTAAATTTTTCAATTTTATTTAACAGCAACAGATGCAACAGCAGCAAAGCCAAGAGCAACCTAAATATATTCCAACATCCAATGTGACTGTGACCAGAATTCAATTCAGGTTACCATCTGGCTATTCTCATACAGGACAGTTTGAACCATCTAGTACTCTGGGTGCCTTGCGCAACTATGTTGTAGAAAACATCGAGTTGCCCTTCCGACAATTTGCCATGTCAATGTCATTCCCAAGAAGAGAATTAACTAACGAGGAAAACAATAAGACTCTTCTGGAACTTGAATTGGTCCCATCTGCCGTCATTTTAATTCTTCCTTTGAAAAATGTAAATATAGATTCTCTTATCTCTACTCAAGATATATTTTTCATTTCTTTTATATTTCATAATTCATATTTTTTTCTGATATTTCCAGTCTAATGTCACAACAGCGGTCACTTCGACGCAAGACGTTGGCTTCTTCTCGCGCTTTATATGGTCCTTCTTTACTCCCGTTATTCGTATTTACAATTATGTGGTAGGCTACTTTTTGGGCACTAATGGAGACGCGAATCAACAACGTGGTAATTCCGCTGACGATGCCACAGAAGCGACGAATAACCCCGACAGAGCCATTTCACCGAATCGGCGAAATGTAGTTCAGTCTTCGGGGTAGGTTTTTCTTCATAACTGCATTAAATAATTCCATGCACAGTTATAATTGTACATACTTATACCTGCACTTGTGATGTAATAAGGTTGGCACCGAATCTGAAATTTTTGATAATGAAATAAATGTTTTGCTCGTGATACAGTTTATTTAGAAGATACTTGGGTAATCAAGGAGGGACAACTATCAGAGCACAAGGGAATATACACAGACTACATTCAGGTGGGGATGATAATGATGAGAATAATACTTGGAACGGTAACTCCACGCAACAAATGTAAAGTAATTCTGCTTCTCAAGTCGGGTCACAAATAAGTCACGTTTAATCGATATCACTATTCTCGGTATATAAATTGCTGCATTGTAATTAAAATATTCAACACTTTTCATTCTTTTTGTACACTCTTTGTTGTACAATAATGCTAAAATTTATCGGCAATTTTTTTGCACTGAGCGAATTCTATTATAATGTTTAAATATTATATACATCAATAGTGGATCGCGAAAGAGAGAGAGAGAGAGAGAGAGAGAGAGAGAGAGAGAGAGAGAGAGAAGAAGATATATTTGTTAACTGATATTTTGCAATTAGCAATAATGTGAATATTTCGTCATTATAATATAATATTTATTATACTATTACACATGCTATTACAATGTGTTTATTATAATGCTACACAAATGTATTCTAACAATTGATAGAACATTTGAAGAGAATTATAGAAGTGGATCAAGTTACAGGTGATGTATGGACCAAATGTAACAAGTTAATTGTTTATAGAAATTAACAGGCAAACTGAAAAACAATATCATGTATATTTTAAAATGTATTCCAAATATTATTAACCATGTCTGAAGTTTGATAATAATTTAAATTTTTAACATTTTTTTAATTGAAACATTATTTATTTCTATATAGTTTTTGGATAACATATAAGAATAATAGAATTTTGATTAGAGGTCGATTATATTAATTCAGATAGAACATATTTTTGCTGTTAACATAGGCATTATATAGAGTTTTAAAATATACGTATATTTATTATTTTCCATTATACTTTTAGTAAAATATGAAATAAGGAAATAATTATTGAGACTAGAATACTTAAATATCATAATTCGCTTATGTAAAAGTTTTTATGCAAATTTAATAATAATTAAGAGTGTTTATTTTTTGATGATAGTTTGCACAGCAAAATAAATAATTTAGCAATTAAAACAAGAAAAGGGTCTGATTCTGTCTTAATAAAGTAATAAAAATTTGTGACATCGTCTCTCCTCTTGTTTTGATTAAACTAAATCCTTTTTCATATATTTTAAGATGATAACGTTTTAAAAACATCGGCTTAAACTTATAACAGTGCAAAACAAAAATATAATATGAAGAATTTTTCGTGCATCCAAACACGATTCCAAAAATATATTCCAAGCGAGAGAAAAAAATGCCAGAAATTTGTATTACGAGAGGGACACGTTTTTAGGAGAAGCGAAGATTTAACTGTCGATTGCCATTCGTTAATTAAGCGTGAAATTAAGATCCAGTTTCATTTAATAATCACTGCAAAGGTTTTGATTTTCCGGACGTGAAATATCGCAGAAGCGACACTATATATTGGTAACGTGATCTCATAGCTATATCCATTGACAGATTTTAGGGAACCTTGCCCATGTTTCAATCTCTTTGCTATAAATCAAATTAAATTATTGTTTATTTGGTCTTCATTGCGATAACTAATTTAAAAAATGTTTTTTTAAGTTAACTATAACTGAAGACTTTTTAAATAAATTTTTTATTAATTTTATCATAGTTTGAAACCGATTTTTGCGATGAAATTATAACATGTGTACGAAATTGAAAACAAATCTGCATAATGTATTTTTTTAATATTTTTAATATTCTCAATTTTTAATATTGTACATTGTGTATATACATGACTATTATATATAATGATATACATGGATGATTTTACGTCATATCGATAAAGTTTTTAAATCGAATAAACATTTGTTTACGTTAAATATGCTTATAAAATATATATCACAAAAAGTGGTTTTTGTTGCAAATAATCCACTTTTGTAGTAACATTTTTGTATTTACTTTGCAACTCTTGCATGCACCAATTGAGTTATGACCATCGCAACTTTTGTTCCATTAGAGATCTATCTAACAAAGAATACTCATATTATTGATGGACACGATAGCTAGATTTGGGCATTCTCCTTTCTGTATATATACTTTCAATTTGTATATAACTATTTTATTATAATTAGAAAACTTATCGAAAAAGTTAATTTATATTTCTTCTAATTCATATCTTATTAGCTGACGAAATGTTTGTGAATTCCAAATAATTGTAGCGTATATTTTACGGAATTTACACATTTGTTATATATAAAAAAAAAATATATATATATGTAGTTTTAAAGTCATTCTATTACATATGCTATTAAATAAATTATTTGATTAAAAAGTTAACGCACATCATCTTGAATAAAAACTGGACGTAAGTGCAAATGCATTACTTTTTATTTGTTCCTCTCTTCGATCAATTCCCTCTTATTCTTCCAATGTCTAAAATTCAGTTCTCTTCCTTTTTTACGAATAAAAACCGTAGACTTATATAATAATAGTTTTATACTAATAGTTATAGTATTAATAGTAATAGTTTCTCGTTTTTATCTTTCTTTATTTCTTTATGATCTCTATGAAATTTATTTTTAAATTATGAACTTTTTAAATTTGTTTTCAAATTTTTAATTTTTTTTATCATTATAAATAATTTTTTTCTCATAAATGTATATTTTTTACAAATAAACTTTCACAATCTGTTTTTTTTTTTATTTCTTTAGCTTTTAGATCATGTATTTTTCCGCTCGCATTTATTTGGATGCTTACATATATATATTAACTTTAGATTATCAAAAATGCAGACTCAAATCTCGATCTCGATCTCTAGCTCTTCACATATAAATATCTGAATTGGAAAAAAGATAAAAGAATAACATTATATGATAAAATATATTTTCGAAGTCTTGCTTTTACAATTAATAAATATAACTTTTATAATAACAAAATAACTAAGTGACAAACTAATAAATAAATAAAATATATATTTATAACAAGAAATAATTAGTAATGTTTCAAATAAACATTTGCATATCAATTCAAAAAATATACTTTATAATATTAATATATTCGAAATATATAAATATTCTAATATGGAATAATCATATCCTAAACTGTGGAATTATCGGTACGGGATTGTTGCTATATATAATCGTCAAAATAATTGAGAAACACATTAGACAGTTTTAATATTTGTATATCAATATTTACATTTCTAGAACGAATTATACATCTTCTTGTGACCTCTTCTTTTTCTATTATCAACATTTCTTCACACATATATTTTTTGTTTCAATAATTTTTCCTTTATAACTTACAGTAGTGCACGATCTACAGAGCAGTCAACATCGCAGATATGTCGAATGTCCAAGAAAGGTAATACCAGTTTATAAAGATTATGGGCCAATTATATCATCTCCGTCGTGCATTTTAATCCGCTGATTAAATTAAAATTTGCAAACTTAAAACTCATCAACTTTGTCTACATTTAAAATAGGATGTCTGTGCTTTGCAGTTGGAAATTCTTCAATTGAATCGGTCGATTAAAATAATCGGAGATGGTAAAATTGGCCTATATATCACATAGAAAAATAATAAGGCAATATGGTTGTGATAATTTTTATCAAATTAATCGACAATAGAAAAGAATATAATTGAAAATCTAGAAAAGATACATAGTGGTCACTTAGTAAAATCATGTACAACGATGAATAGAATCATGATTTCAAATATTTAGGACGTCTTTATTACAAATATATTATAATATTTTAGTTAACTTAAACCTCGCTAATATTATATACATAATAATATACATAATAATTTAGTATATAATTTAGTATTATAAAGTATAAATATATATACAAAGTGCGAAAAAAAGTCACATATTTCGACATAATATTATTGATCAAAACAAGAAAACAAAGTTTAATTAGCATGAGTTATACAATTAATATCCTTGAAGATATTGGCTATATCTTTCTATTTGTGCTTATTGTCACTTTTTTATAATCTAAATTTGCGTGCTATTATATTAAGACTTTTATAATCGATAATTTATGAGAATCTTTATAGGTATGAACAAATGTACAATTAATTAATAAAGATATAGATAATCGTATTTAGATAATTTTCATGTTTATAAGAATATTGAAAGTTAAAATTAAATGAAAGAGATAAAGTTTAAATAGATAATAAGATCTTATTAATAATATTAGTTTTGATTTGTTATCAGTAATTGTACATTGTACACATTATTCAACAAACAAACATTACAATATTAATTTATTCTAGCAATTTGTGTTTATTATTTTATATAGTTCAATGGAATATGAATGGATGTGGTATTATGTGAGAAAAGATACGGAGAATGAAATATGTAATATTTGTGATGAGAAATATGATTTGTGTCATATTCAATGTTTGGAACAACATATCAATGAAGATCATTCTGATATTCCTAATAAATCGGAAAAGAGACCTTTTTCTATATTAGGGAACGGCGGAGTAAAATGTAATCATTGTTCTCAAATTTATATGCCATCCTTGAATCCAAGTGTGGAGATGCAAAATCACATGACACAAAAACATAAACTTAACAATGATATAGCTAATGAACTTAAAAACTGGGTAAACGACCAACTTCATTCAATTCAGAAATGCGAGGCTTGCGAAAAATTTGAGAAATTGAATATTTTCAATGTAATAGTACATTTATACAGAATTCATGATGTCACTGTACCTCCAAAATTTATACCAACAGGGTAAGAAGAATTTCTGATAAATTTATTATATTGTTTTTCATCATTTATGTACAATAAACAGAATTGTTTCTAATAAATAAGAAGATAAAATTCAAACTTTAAGAATGTGTTTATTACATATATTTATAATTGCGTCAATTTATCTTAGTTAATATTTTATATTGAAATATACGTTCGACCAGATTTCTTTGTGGTAATTATTTATTGTAATTGGTAATTTGTAACAATTTATTTAATTAAGTATTTAGTTTAGTATAAATTGTGAATAAGTATATAAAATTAAATAATCGGTCAAAAATGGTCGTATGTGAATAATATTTATATATTATATATTGTACACATTACTCTTTCTACAAGCAAATACTACAATATTTATTATTCCATACAATTTGTATTTTTTATTTTATACAGCTTAAAGGATTGTACATGGATGTGGTATTATTTAAGAAGTGATACGACAAATGAAATATGCAATATCTGTAATAAGCAATATAATACCATTTCACACCGTTTCAACATGATTAGGCATGTGTCAATCTCACATCCTGATATATATGAACCCTCCAAGAAAACAATGGATTAAAATGTAATTATTATTCTCAAATTTATAGGCTATTCTTGAATCCAAGTTTGAAGACGCAAAATCATTTGACAAAAATACATAAGCTTAACGATGATATAGCTAATAAACTCAAAATCTGGGTAAATCAGCAACTAGGTATAATTAAGAAATGTGAGACTTGCAAACAATTTGAGAAATTCGATATTTTCAGTTTAATGGTACATTTACACAGAATGCATGATGTCACTGTACCTCCAGAATTTATACCAACAGAGTAAGAAGAATTTCCAATAATTTTATTATATTGTTTTTTATCATTTATACGTACATTTGTGTACAATAAACAAAATTGTTTATAATAAATAAGAAAATAAAATTCAAACTTTAAAAATGTGTTTATTACATATGTTTATATTTACGTCAATTTATCTTAATTAGTTAATATATTACATTGAAATATATACATTCGACCAGATTTGCTGTGTGTTATTTCTTGTAGTCGGTAACTTGTAACCATTTATTTAATAAAGTATTTAGCTTAGTATAAATTGTGAATAAGTATATAAAATTAAATAATTGGTCAAAAATGGTCGTATGTGAATAATATTTATATATTATACTGTACACATTACTCTTTCAACAAGCAAACATTACAATATTAATTATTCCATACAATTTGTATTTTCTATTTTATACAGCTTAAAGGATTGTATGTGGATGTGGTATTATTTAAGAAGTAATACGGAGAAAGAAATATGTAATATTTGTCATGATACATATATCAATGCACACCATTGCAGCATAAGTGGCCATTTTTCATATTCACATTCTAAGTCATATATATGTTTAGAAAAGTATCGTACTTGTACTCTTACTAAAACCAACGGAGTAAAATGTAATTTTTGTCCTAGAATTTATATGCCATCCATGATTCCGGGTATGCATACACAAAAACACCTTAGAAATCTACATGAGCTTAACGAAGATATAACTAATGAAATCAAAATCTGGGTAAATCAGCAACTAGATAAAATTAAGAAATGTGAGACTTGCGAAAAATTGGATATTTTCAATTTAATGGGACATTTATACACGATTCATGGTGTCATTGTACCTTCAAAATTTATACCAACAGAGTAAGAAGAATTTCCGATAATTTCATTATATCGTTTTTTATCATTTATACGTACATTTGCGTACGATAAACAGAATTGTTTATAATAAATAAGAAAATAAAATTCAAACTTTAAAAATGTGTTTATTACACATGTTTATATTTACGTCATCTTATTTTAGTTAGTTAATATATTACATTATACTATATACGTTCGACCAGATTTGCTGTGTGTTATTTCTTGTAGTCGGTAATTTGTAACAATTTATTTAATAAAGTATTTAGCTTAGTATAAATTGTGAATAAGTATATAAAATTAAATAATTGGTAAAAATGGTCGTATGTGAATAATATTTATATATTATATTGTACACATTACTCCTTTAACAAGCAAACATTACAATATTAATTATTCCATACAATTTGTATTTTATATTTTATACAGCTTTAAGGATTGTGCATGGATGTGGTATTATTTGAGAAGTGATACGACAAATGAAATATGCAATATCTGTAATAAGCAATGTAATACCATTTCACCCCGTTTCACCGTTAGGTATGTGTCAATCTCACATCCTGATATATATGAACCCTCCAAGAAAACAATGGATTAAAATGTAATTATTATTCTCAAATTTATAGCCCATTATTCTTGAATCCAAGTTTGGAGATGCAAAATCACCTGACAAAAATACATGAGCTTAACGAAGATATAGCTATTAACTCCAAATCTGGGTAAATCAGCAACTTGATAGAGTTGAGAAATGTGAGACTTGCAAACAATTTGAGAAATTCGATATTTTCAATTTAATGGGACATTTATACACAATTCATAATATCATTGCACCTTCAGAATTTATACCAATAGAGTAAGAAGAATTTCCGATAATTTCATTATATTATTTTTTATCATTTATACGTACATTTGCGTACGATAAACAGAATTGTTTATAATAAATAAGAAAATAAAATTCAAACTTTAAAAATGTGTTTATTACACATGTTTATATTTACGTCATCTTATTTTAGTTAGTTAATATATTACATTATACTATATACGTTCGACCAGATTTGCTGTGTGTTATTTCTTGTAGTCGGTAATTTGTAACAATTTATTTAATAAAGTATTTAGCTTAGTATAAATTGTGAATAAGTATATAAAATTAAATAATTGGTAAAAATGGTCGTATGTGAATAATATTTATATATTATATTGTACACATTACTCCTTTAACAAGCAAACATTACAATATTAATTATTCCATACAATTTGTATTTTATATTTTATACAGCTTTAAGGATTGTGCATGGATGTGGTATTATTTGAGAAGTGATACGACAAATGAAATATGCAATATCTGTAATAAGCAATGTAATACCATTTCACCCCGTTTCACCGTTAGGTATGTGTCAATCTCACATCCTGATATATATGAACCCTCCAAGAAAACAATGGATTAAAATGTAATTATTATTCTCAAATTTATAGCCCATTATTCTTGAATCCAAGTATGGAGACGCAAAATCACCTGACAAAAATACATAAGCTTAACGAAGATAAAGCTATTAAACTCCAAATCTGGGTAAATCAGCAACTTGATAGAGTTGAGAAATGTGAGACTTGCGAACAATTTGAGAAAACGGATATTTTCAGTTTAATGGTACATTTACACAGAATTCATGATGTCACTGTACCTCAAAAATTTATGCCAAAAGGGTAAGAAAAATTTTCGATAAATCTATTATATCGTTTTTTATCATTTATACGTACATTTGTGTACGATGAACAAAATTGTTTATAATAAATAAGAAAATAAAATTAAAATATTAAAAATGTGTTTATTATATATATTTATATTTACGTCAATTTATCTTAGTTAGTTAATACAATATATTGAAATATACGTTTGACCAAATTTGTTCTGTGTTATTCTTTTGTATTAATATTACAAAAATTATACAATTTTTTTTATCGTGATATTAACACTGCAAATATTCCAACGTTTAGCAGCAATCAGCAGCCAACTCGTAGATCTTTGAGAATTAACGTTTAGAATTTTGGTTCCAATAAAGTTCTGATAGGTCAGTGGACTCTACTGAAGAAGATAATTGGGCTGATTATATACGTAATTATTATACCTCTTTTTCGATTTTACATAAAGCGATATAACACAAACTTATAAATGAATCGATTGTGTTGCGAATTCATAATTTTCTAATTATCTACATATCAAGCATCGACAGAGTGAAATTTTTATTTTCCATATTTTTTTAAAATACTTTTTAGAATATTTTCTAAAAATTATTTATTATTTGTACTTGAATAATAGTTGTCTTACACATTAAACATTTTACATACTTATATGAACAAGAATTTATATTGGTATTGATTAATTCAGTAATTGCTATTGTTATGATTGTGTGAAAATTATCAAATATTTTGCTAATATTTTTGAAGATATTGCACTCTGTGCTGATAGTAAAAAAATTGATTCGATTTATAGCATCGAAGTCGATAAGTTATTTGAATGTATAGTGGAGAAAAAAGTGATTCAATGTTATCTAATGAATAATTATTCACACTGCTTTTTTAATGTAATATAAAGCGAAATAGTTCGAAATTATAATGATGAATGTTTTGCGAACATATTTTTTGTTAATTAACCTCTTATCAGGCAGCGGTTTTAAATTATTGATATTTATAGTACTTTTGCTTTAGTTATAATATATTGCTCATTAGAAAACATAAATTTATCATTGATTCTGTAAAATTAGTATTTTAAAAGTATTGTAGTGACAAAGATATTTTATTTAAGCAAATATAATATTTTTGTTTTCGTTTTCAACGCGTCGCTTAATATGTATTTGTTTGTTAATTATTTATAGTAAAGATAATGTATTGAATAATTTTATATTTTACATAATCATTCGGTTTAATAAATTTTTCTGAAGATTATTAGAAAACAAATCGGGTATAAGAATATTGAAATAATTGTCCATGTGTGCTATATGTATCTAACTTGTAACAAATATTTGCAATAAACTTGATTCCATATCGTGTATATTCTTTTTGTACAAGTGTTTCAATTTCAGTTATTTCATCAATTACATTTATTATATATTTATATAGAACCGTACAAACCCATACAGCACACAAGTTTGCAGCAATATTGCAACAACATTGCAATGTTGTTGTTGCAATATTGCAATAACATTGCAATATTGCTGCAAACTTGTGTGCTGTATGGGAATTTTAATGTGTAAGTGGATATACATTTTGCATAATATCGATGGATCTGAAAATATAAAATCGAGTGAGTGGATGTGCATTGCACTCGTATGTGACTGTCTGTTCGACATTAAGAAAAACACATTATATTTGTTTTGGGTCTATAAAACTGTGTGATTGTAAAATACAAAGCCTATCTCTGCATAGTAGATATTCGCAATAACTCAATTATAGGTTTGCGTTATTAATAAGACAATCTATGCCAATCATAAACTTATATTGTAAACGTGCACGAATAGTGAAATGAAACAAATCAAATGATAGAAGTAAACGAAACACGAAATATACGTATAATTCTCGAACGTATACGTGTATATTTTGTTTATTAAATTAAAAATGCACTAAAATTAATTGGACAACGGTCTGATATTTTTCCATCAATCAACCCGTTACATATTTGTTGTAGAAATTGGCAGTGTAAAATATGCAGCGCTATATGATCTTTTTTGTTGTATTCTTTCTTTAAAAAAAGACATGTTAATAGAGTAAATTTAATTTTAATCGAAGTATCGAAGCCACTTTTTCGCGATGCTGGTTCGTGTTGTCTCGACGTTTGCTTCGCGACTTCAATCACAACCATATCGTTTTACAACTTTACAGTTTGTGGTTAAACTTAATATTATTTTAATTTGCCGAGTTTCTATTACGCACATAATTTTATGTTTATGTTATTAAATTTTTATTATGTATATAATGTTAATTTACCAAATTATTATTATGTGCATAGTTTTAATTTGCTGAATTTTTACTATGCACAAAATTTTAATTTGTCGTATTCCTTTTATGCAAATAATTTTAATTCGCTGAATTTCTATTGCGTACATAATTTTAATTAATTTTTTTTTTAGTTTTAATTTTCCTAATCTTAGTATTATTATTCCTGGGGTTAGTTTTACTTTTCCTTAGGTTAGCTTTATTTTTTCTAATATTAGTTTTTAATGATAGCTAATTGAAAAAGAGAAATCATTGCAGTATAATTCCTTCCCGAAAATAAAAAAAATTTTTAGTGATCTGCATTTAAGTAATTATACAGATTTTTTTACATAATATATATTCAGTTTAATTATATTTATTCAAAAGTGTTATACAATATTGTATTTAAATCAGATATTTTACAATAAAAATATAGACAATCGCGATTGCATGCAGAAAATTTAAATAGGATCAAATTCAAAACTTTTTTAATTTTTTTTTCAATTTTTCTTAAATTTGTGATATATATATATATATATAATTTATTCTATAAATATAGATTTAATTTTAATTTATAATAACGTGGCATTCGAGCAACAATTCTCTATATATATATATATATATATAATATATATATATATATACATATTATATTTAATTTTATTATTATTTCTAATTGTATTTATAATTATTATATTATTATTGTTATCATTATTATTATTACTATTCTAATATAATTATATATTTTATCAAATACTAAAATGTATTAGAATATTTTTAATATTACAACGGGAATTCACAAAATAATTATATGTAAAATGTATCATAGAAAAATTTTAATGATTGAGATATATTAAATTAAATAATTTTATATTCAGATAATTATTTTATTTAAAAATTTACATTTAATCAAAGTATTAATAAAAATTAAAAATAATTTTTTATTAAAAACAATATAATGAAATTTAATGACACAGATTTGTGCATTGTTAGAAATGGATTTATTTAGTATGTATATATGATATTTTTGACAGGTAGTATTTATAGAGTTTCAATATTAATTATTCTTAACAATAATTTTATTATTTTTTATGAACATAAAATATTTATCGTATTATCTGCGTAACTTTTAGTAAAATATGAAATAAAAAGAAATAATTATTGAGACCAGAATACTTAAATATCATAATTCGCTTATGTAAAAGTTTTTATGCAATTTTAATAATAATTAAGAGTGTTTATTTTCCGATGGTAGTTTGCACAGCAAAATAAATAATTGGGCAATTAAATAAAGAAAGGGGTCTGATTCTTAATATAGAAATAAAAGTTTGTGATATCGTCTTTCGCATTTTGTTTTGATTAAATTAATTCTTTTTTCATATATTTTAAAATGATAACGTTTTTAAAAACATCGTCTTAAGCTTGTAACAGTGCAAACGAAATTGTAATTTGACGAATTTTTCGAGCATCCATGCACAATTCTAAAAATGTATTCAAGGCGAGAGGAAAAAAATGCCAGAAATCTGTGTTACTGGTGGGACACGTTTTTGGGAGGAGCGAAGATTTAACTGTCGATTGGCATTCATTAATTACGCGTTAATGAAATTAACAAACAGTCACTTAATAATCACTGCAAAGGTTTCGATTTTCCGGATGTGAAATATCGCAGAAGCGACACTATATATCTGTAACGTGATCTTATAGCTATATTCATTGACAGATTTTAGGGAACCTTGCCCATGTTTCAATCTCTTAGCTATAAATCAAATTAAATTACTCTTTATTCGGTCTTCATTGATAACTATTTTAAAAAACATTTTTTTTTAAGTTAATTTGTTATACATATAGCTAAAGATTTTTTAAATATATTTTTTATTAATTTTATCAGTTAAAAATCGATTTTTGCAATAAAATAATAACATGTATACAAAATTGAAAGCAAATCTGCATAATTCATTTTTTTAATATTTTTAATATTGGCAATTTTTAATATTGTACATCGTATATATATAATGATGTGTAAGAGTGATTTTACGTCAAATCGAACAAGTTGATTTTTAAATTAAATAAAATTTTTTTTTACGTGAAATATACTTACAATTGGAATAAGGAGATACGTATATTTTTGCATTTGTCCAAAATATTTTTTGCAGAAAGTTAGAAAAAATAAAAGTTTCATGAAAAATGAAAAAAGTTATCAACTTCAAAAATTAATGTCTTTAATTACATTGTCGTAGAGAATATTTAAAAAAATTCATTATAACAAAGTTAAGAAGATAATCTTTTTTATATCAAAATAGTTTGAATTACAAAGAATTATTAATACAATTTTTATAAATAATTAAGGTGTTTAATAACTTTCTCAAGAAAAATACACTTCTTTCAAAATAATAATTAATAATATTTTAGTCTCCATTTTATTATAAAAGTGTATATACATACACTAGATATATAATAATTTAATTTATCTATAAGTTTATCTGAATGATCACGCAGGAACAAAATCGTGGAAAGAGATGCCATTCCTTGATGGTATCTAATAATATAAGTAAAGGCCCAGTTTTTTATGTTTATTGGGCAACGCACTCAAAGCGATCTCTCTTATTATATATGATAATCTGTAAATATATGCGTCACACATAAAAGATATATATATATATTTCTCGCTGTTTAACTATCATCAGAGCCAAATGGTTACCGAAATAGCGATTCTTATGAATATATTTCGAAATTGTCAAACAAATATAATCATTAAATTTTATATGTTATCCATTTCCGATGTAGAATTTATTAATATCAACACTTTTGTATATATAGTATATATAAATGATCGTACTTTCACTCTTTGAATAATTTTTTATATCTATACAAAAAAAATTGACCATAGCTAAATTTTAGCTGTCCTTAAATCACACATTAAATTTATCATGCTTAATTTCAGCTATGATAGCTAATATTTTTAGCTCTAAAATTCATTATAAATTATAAATTATAGCTAAAAAATATTAGTTAAAATTTAGGCATAACTAAATTTCAGATTGTAATATAGGAATAGCTATTTAGCTATTGATGACTAATTTTTTCTGTATGATAATAGTAATTAATAAAATATGTAAAAATATTTTCCCCAAATCAAAAGTCTCTCTAATTCAGTTATTCAATTTAAACGCGTTATTTCTATAAATACTTTTGATATAAAATAATTCGGAATTCCTCTTTATATGATAACTCTATTAAATCATGAAATTAGCTTCTCATAACTGAATCAATTTCGCATCGCATCTGTTCCCTATCATGATTATTAAACGGCGTTCCGTGGCAGTGACAGAAATTTATGGTCACCTCATTACCACCGTTTAGTGGTAGCGGTATCTCGCACTACGAGATCATTAAAAGCTCCTTCCAGAGATGCACGTGCTTGCCAAGATCCGCCCAGAAGTTCATACGATTGGTTCATCTCGTGATGATGTTGTGAGCACGTGGCTTCAAGATACCGCCTCGAGGAACGAAGAATTTGACTTGAGTGCCAAAAAAATATTGTTGGACACCGTGAGTAACCCCGACAAAACAGTCGATGGTTTCGGCTCTAATCCCTCGAACAGATCAGGAGGTACCAGCCTGATGCGTTTATTCATCGATAGTATTATACCGTTTCTATATCTGATTTTTAATTGAAATGCAGTGTATTATTTATTTAAAAATGCTACAGTGATATATTAAATCGCGCGATCAAATTTTAGTGAAGTTTTGAGGTTTATTGATTGATATATTTGGAGAGAGAGAGAGAGAGAGTGTTGATTAAGTGGTGTAATAAATTGAATCTTCTTGTTCTAACGTTTTTAATGAGTGAAAAATCAAAGATTGACAAGAAACTTTGGAAATATAATCCTTGAAGAACTAGTAGCAATTAAAGAAAATTAATTTCAATGTATACGAGGATATCAACGATTTTTTTCATAAATGTTACTAGCCAGATATTCTGAATATTGTTTGAACAAAACGACTTCAAGATGTCCGATAAACAGCTCGAAAAATCTGGATCGTCGAAGAAAGCAAGTGACTCCGCGGAAAATTCGAGAATATGTTCTTTCAGTATTGAGAGATTATTAGCTCCAAACAAGAAACATGAAGAAGAGAATAAGATTGGACAGCAAACCGATTTGTCATTACTTTGTCAAGAAAGTAAGTGATAACAAAAATTTTAATTGTGCATTTTAATTGTTACAATCGATTAGCTATTATTTGCTTTTGTTTTTTACACGACGATCTCTTTAATGATTTTATTATCGTTGAAATAATATATTATTCATTTTATTTTGTAATATAATTAATAATAATTAATGTGAGAAATCTGCATCTCTAAACAACCTTATAGAAATTTATCACTACTGAGTTAGTAATTATAATTACTTATTTCGGATACTTAAATTATTGTATTACTATTTTACTATAGTCATGTATTTAAATATTCAAAATAAGTAATTAATTATTTTTCGCTAATAAAATTTTCATAAGAAGAAATATAATAGAAATATAATAAAATATTTATATTTACAATAATATATAAAATATAAATATTTATTTATAGCAATATATAAATATAAAAGAAATATTTGGTACAAAGAAATATGTATATAAAAACTGTATAAAATATATAATATTATAAAAAATTGTATTATATATATTTTATTATTATTACGTAACGAAAAAGGATTCTTACCGAAAGACTGCAATGTGCTGCATCTTTTTTCTATTCGGGACCGTAATGAACTCTGTATAGTTAATCTCAATGTTAGTATAATTCGTATGATGAGAATTAAACAAAATAATTGCATTTGCCAGGTAATGACTCCGAGACGAGAATGCTTGTTGCACCCGATTCATCCATGTCAATGGCAGAGGAAATTGAGCTTGACGATACCGACATTGTATACTCAACCTCTCCCGAGCCAGAGATGTATTATGGTGAGTTTAATTAGTATCATTACACACAATTATACTTTCAGACAATCTCATAAATATATACGACAAATTGCGTCCTTTTTGAAAGAATGTGTTCTTGTTATTTTAACTTAAATTATGTTTTTTCAATATACACAAATGTTATAAAAAAGAGGCTTTAAAATATTATTAATTAATTTAAATTTATAAAAAAATTAATAAGAAAAGTTACATCTTAATTAAAATTGTGTTTGCTTAGAGATAACTCTTCGCAGTCATCTTATCTTGCAGGAGATAATCATATATAGAATTAAAATGGAATTATATTTATTTATACTTACTATGACACGTTATTTATTTTTCAATAAAATCCGTGCTTTAAAAGTTTATATATATTCTATAATCTATAATATTGAATAGTTTTTTCATTATATAGATTTTTATAAAAATAAATTTGCTTATACGCATGAACGCCAATGCCAAAGTTTGCGCGTTACACAGGTGTGTGACATCTGTATTTGTTTTGTTAATCGGTGTATTAATAAAGACAGTTTGAACGCAAATAGACGGAATAAAAAGATTTCGCTAATATGTCAATTCATGTATAATAATTATTGCACTTGTTACATCCGAGAATTGTATTTTTGTATCGTTGTGTAAATATTATATTAATGTTCGTATTGCTCTCTCTCAGATTAACAAAGCCATGTTAATCGATGGCCACACTGATCTTTTCAATATAAAATATTACTAAGTGTGATGAGAAATTACTTTTTGTTAATCTTATTTCGATGATCCCATATAAATCACTTACATAAATAATTTAAAATAATTTAATTTAAAATATCTATTCAATTTAAAATAATTAAACTATTACTCTAATAATTAATTTAAGTAATTAAATAATTAAACTTATATTTCAGCAATTTTGTTAAAGAATTATTAAATTAGCCTTTTTATAATTTTAAAATTAATAATCTCTTTACATTTCAAAACTGTATAACGGATATACATAATTGGATTTAATCGATGTTTCTTCGTAAAAAACTTCGATAAAAACAATATTATTATACATATTTAAAGAAATTCGAAATAATAAAGAATTATGTTTTAAAACAAAATTTATTTTGTCAGACAATGGTAATTTACCATATTTCTTAATTTTGATATTAATAAGAACGTAGATATTTGACAATCGCCAGACAGAATTTAAAAAAGGTAAGAATCTTCTCTCGACCGTACTGGCAAATATTATTTATTCAATCACAACGTTTCGACCCTTCTTTGAGTCCTTATCAAGTGATCTAGATATACATAGACAGAGATTAATACAATAAAAAACAAGTCTCCAATAACTCGTCTAAGAGTCTTGACGTGTTGTCAAACCGACACTATGTTCGTTCTTGACATCTTAAAATTATAATTTTATTTTTATTTTTACAAATATGTTTCGCTTCTTTTTATCATTTTGTAATATTGTTAGTGAAGTAATTTTGTTTTTTATTGTATTAATCTCTGTCTATGTATATCTAGATCACTTGATAGAACTCAAAGAAGAGTCGAAAAGTTGTGATTAAATAAATAATATTTGCCAGTACGGTCGAGAGAAGATTCTTACCTTTTTTGATATTAATGTAAATAATAGATCATTTTTTACCATTTTTTATTTGTTAGACTCTTCATTTTATTAATAAAAAATAAAGATAGTTTTGTTCTAACTAATGACAATTAATGCAAGTGTGTATGTCTTTCTGTTTTTCTCTAAAATCTTCAAATATTACTTTGTGTTTTTGAGTCTGTCGAGAATTATATTGCTATAACCACCGATATTACCTCAGTTTACCGACAAAAATGATTACAGATAAACTGATTGTTACAAAATCTATATATCTGAGACTTCTAGCGATAACGACTTCGTAAGATCGCGTGAAAAGGACGTCGCCTGTGAGTTTGATCCATTACTTCCTGCAGGCTCCACGCCCACTTAATGTTCTTGCTCTTCGTCCACTATTTATCTGTCTCCTGCTAATTCTGCCACGGAAATCTGCAGAAACTCTCTCCTGCTTGTAATAAAATGAAAAAGAACGACATGTTAAAGCAAAACTTCTCTGAGGTTCTTCCTCAGAAATGTTACGCTTTTATAAAACATTAAGGATCAATGAAATTATCTAAATTTACCTACAACATTTTATAGGAATCTTACAATATTTTGCGTTTTAATTAAGACAGTTTCCGAGTTTTTTAAATTTAATAAAAGCTCAAAATTGAAACACGATTACAAGATAATTAATTCGATGTTATATTCTTCGCCATTTATGTATCATTATAAGTTCCTCAGTATTGCAAATTGTTCACAGAATTATTCCAAGAATAGTTACTGTCAGAATGTAACCGCTTAAGGCAATCGTTTTTAAAATACTTTGGTCATCATCCGCGATATAATGGAGAACGACCTGACTTATGTTTTTACGGATAATTAATACAAGAACCGAGCGACTCAATTTCGTGGCATCTCGCACGCCCTCGAGGGCCTCAACAACTAATTTTCATCCGAAGGCACGTAAGTAACTGCGTCGTGATTTACACACCGTAATGGCCGACGCGATAAATTCGAGATCTAAGGAAAGGACAATTCTCGTTTGCGTCGTATGTTGGGGGGCTGAGATATGTGGGACGTCGCGTCCAACTACAAAGCCGTCAACGCAACACGTAAATCTTTGTGAGAGAACATAAAACATAAAGAAGAAGAGATGACGAGCAAGAGAAAAGCGCTTCTTCTTCAACGAACTCATTATGAATTTTGGACAATAATTTTGCAGCCACATGTGACACTTTTTTCTGTGTAATTTAACCCTATTACCCTATGGAGTCTCATCTGTCGAAATATATATACTAATGACGTTTTAAGCTGAGGAAAAGAAACTGAAATGATATTTATTTCAATTAGTGACAGATTGTATTCTTGCAAGATCCCAAACAACACCAAAATCGAAATAGATGTCTCTTTTAGAGATATTATAAAATTTCTTAAAGATGTCTTATGTCTCAATTTTGGATATAGTGTTGTCTTTCCCAATTTTGAACATGGTACTGTCTGGGACATCTTTTCTTGCTTAAATTTTTTAACAATTTAGTAAATTTATTATTGAATAATAAGATTTTAATTAGCAGCACAAAGAACTTCTTTGTAAGATTATCTTCGAGGCAGATTTGCCAATAGTTGCAAATTAATTATGTCTTTATGGTTGATTGCCAGCATGAAATGATCAGCATGAAATGTCGCAGAACGAATAAGATTTGGCCGGACTTTATCGCGCCCTTCTGCGTCCTCTCGGGCTATTCGTCACCGAATAATTAGGGGACAAGTTCGCTGCGGCTCGCAGCAATTAGGTAAACTAGAAGGCGTGGTATTCTATTTCCGCAACGTTTCCAACGTGCATCTGCGTCTCCCTCGACTTTTGGCTCCTCTTCATCCTTCTCTTGTCGTCGGTTCCTTTTTGCGGTTGCTTCCTCTGCATCAATCCTTTCCTGCTCCTTTCCAGAGCTCGTTCGTCAATGCAACCGAGTCAGAAACTCGACGACAAATGAGCCGTGCAAGACTCACCCCTTGCACTCTTTTCTTCTCCTTTTCTTTCGGCCTGCTTCCGGTTGCGAGCAGAATTTGAGATGATTTTAAGCACACCGCAAAGAATTCAAGAAAATTTATATATTGATAATAAATCTTTTGCATTACGTTATTTGATTTTAATCATTTTTCTGAATGATACAGCGCAAATATTTAACTTAAGTTCATCGTTGTAATATAATGGTATATTTATAATATTTAATAATAAATTCTGATGCAATTTTAGATTAGGAAAAACATTTGGAACACATAAGTCTTGGTACATCATATCATGTTTAAATGTTTGCTCTAAGATATGACAGATGTGAAATATTAACGCTGTCTCAACAGCGTGACATGATGATCTTCTTTTAAAAGTGCGAAACGCGGAGGGCTGCATCGAAGTAAATTACAGATGGTACAGTTTTAGCCGGCGATGCTGTAGTAAGGCGAGAAAATGCGAAAAACACGACCATTACGTCGTCATCTGACAATCAGTAGGCAGTAAAAACGGCACTCTTCGAGATGATTTCGCCGTTAATAATTTTCTTCGAGATATTTATCATCTTTGCAACTTATATTAAGCTCAATGAGATCTGACTCGATCGTTTTCTCTCTGTAAAATTTTTCGATACTGAAAAATTATTTATAACAAATTATTCGAAAAATATTTGAGATTATTTAATATAATGTAAAATAATTGTAAGGTTTTCGATGTTAGTGTGAAAGTCGCTGCATCTCGCTACCAGCTTTTTCCTCAGATGACGAATGGGCAGATAATTAGAAGATGATCTTCCGACGCTTAAGAGAGTCGCGGTCTTGTTACCAGCCGTCTAAAAGCGAGCCCGAAGATATTTTTCAGACATCATGTACAAGCTTTTAAGCCGGGATAAATATAAATATAAACAACCTCGGCGAAGAAAAAAAGAAAAATCCTGAAATTGATGGGGAAAAGGACCCCTTCCACTCGGCCGCGGAATCTGATCTCTTAAATGATCTCGCGGACACATTAACTTATTTATTCAAAAGCGATTAAAAGAATAAAGAAACGGGAGTAACACGAGTTTCTAGAGTGAACGATGACGCGATTTTGGTATTTGCATATCAGCTTTCTCGTTTCCAGTAATTTTGCGCTTCATCATTTGCAGTTACTTAATCAGCTGTTTTTGACAGCTCATTTGCGATATACCGATTCAATTGTGATAAAGCAAATTTTATTCGATGATTAAGGCCGAAATTTTTCACGGTAACATTGCGATTGCAGAATTGCTTACAGAAGTATATTTCAGAAGACATGTTGTTCCTTGCTATTTGGAATATTGTTGCAGAAGCGTGCACCAGCAGTAGCGGTGGTGCAAATTCAACTACAAGCGCGGACAGAGATGTTCAAGAAAAGACCGCCGGCGCTATTAGTGACGACGAAAGGAAGAAAAGGCCACGCACAGCGTTCACTGCTGCGCAAATTAAATCTCTGGAGACGGAATTCGAAAGGAACAAATACTTGAGCGTGGCGAAGCGGCTGCAGCTGAGCAAAAACTTGAAGCTCACGGAAACGCAAGTAAATATCTTATTAGTTAATGTTGTTTACAATCATTGATCACTATATAACACTGGACATCATATATGCTATGGAAGAAAAGATTATTCTGCCACGGATTGTACTTTTTATAATTTTTTATCAAAACAAATGAAGTTTTTTTTAACATATTGTACAAATTGATCATTTTGAACATACGGATCATTATAAAGAAATTATCACAGCATGTCTGTGATTTTTTGTCAAGTTTGGGGTACTAAGAGGCACAAAAATTTTAGTCGATAAAATGTTTTTAGTCACTTTACGTAACTTTTTTTTAAAGTTTAAACAAAAAGGAAAAAACTCGAAAATTTCTTCGTTATTTTTACTTATTTATAAGAAGTTCATGAGTTAAAAAAAATTTAGTCTCTATATCATATTATAGAACAAAGATTCAGCTTTAAGAATCCATTCTTAAAATTATTGTACGATGATTTTTAACGGAGTTATGAACGGTCAAAGTAAAAATGACATTTTTTCTTCAATTTACGATAACTTGATAAGGAAAGATCGAAATTTAAATTTAAAAAAAACGATTTTGCAGGGAAAACTTCAGACTTTAACGTGAAAATATCAACAAAATTTTTCAAATCTTCTTGTGTATGCGACATGTCTATAAAGTGAAAAGAAAATTTTTTATTTCGCTATATTCGATGTTTTCTGTATGTAAAAAATATCAAAATTGAAGAAAATAAAAAACGCTATAACTTTTCGAAAGAAGAGATTTCAAGTTTTAAAACCCTTTTTTAAAATTTAAATTATCATTTTTTGAAACAAAGTTACAGCTATTTAAAATTTTTCCATTTTTTGGACAATCTTTTTTGATCCCTTAATTATTTTGAGAAGTGTATATTACAATATATAACAACTTTTATTTTTACAACTTCATTTTTTAGCATATCTCACTTTATCAAAGATGGTTACCTGATTTTTAATTTGGCGTCCTGTTAAATATGCCATACAATGTTATAAGAGATTAGTGTTTACAATCTCTCTCTCTCTCTCTCTCTCTCTCTCTCTCTCTATCTCCCTCTCTCTTTAAGAAATTATCATATGATGTTTCTTTCGCTTTGACTTAATAATAAGCAACAGCTGTGCCTGTTTCATTTTTAAAGATACTTGCTAACAAGTAACAAGTCTGCGATCTATTCTAATATTCCAATATTAGGTTTTGCCTCGTAAATGTATATAATTGGAAAGGGACACGAGAAATTGGAGCGGATATACGTCCAAATGTAGGATATTGCGTTCAATAAATCGCGATAATGTCTCCTACTTCCTTCGTAGACTTTTTTCGACACCTGAAGCAGTTTAAGTTCCTTGTACCCCGAGTTCCTTAAACTCAACTGACTCTAAATTATGGACCCGTGGAGCACCATATGTGCAGGCGCCGGAGGATCGTATGGCGCCAGAGGGAGGATCGTCCTTTAAAACCAATTAGCACTTGCTCACTCTTCTTTCTCGCGAACTGTTAGGGAAAGACATTTTTTTCCCAAGTGCTTAATCTCTCCGAAGATAGTCCTTTTTTTACATATTCAACGAAACCAAGGAAATTTAATTTATTTAGTCGGATGTAAAAATATTTCGCGGAATTCGGAACTCTACACGAAGAGAATTTTCTCTTAGAATTTACCCTGAAAATCATGGTAATCGTGGGATAATATGGTGTTAGAAGAACGTTATAAGAGTTTCTCTGATTAATATACCACAATAAAAAATATTAAAATATGTACATAGTAAATTTTACTTCCAATACCATATTGTCCCACGATTACCATGATTTTCAGGATAAATTTTAAGAGAAAATTCTCTCTGTGCAAATATCTGCAATTACCGATATAAATTTTATTATCAAGTCAATATAAATCTGACAGTTCAATTATATATTTAATTTCATAAAATATATGTGTATTGGAAACAATTTTGCTCGCCGCGAATCTGTCTAATATTAACCGGTCCTATCCTACAATTCTCCGACGATTCCTCTTTTGCGAAACGCAGTGGGGATAGTGCATTGCAGTTGCATAAGTCTCGGCCCGTGCACTTTGCGGCGTTCGCCTTAAATTAATTAATTTACGACGAGCACTCGGAATATTCGCCATCACGGAGATCGCTCTGGGCCATCATCGCTCGCGGGTAATAATTGCCAGCGCCGGTCGAAATATCGCGAACGAGCCGGATAATTATCTTCGCGATCGCGCGCAACTCCGAAATAAGGGAGAACGATATCGGACGACGCGGAGGATCAGAGAGAGGCGTGAGGGAAATGAGCGCGTCGTGAGCCGCGTAGACATAACTGTCACAATATTTCTCGGAGTTAACGAGCCGGTTCAGGAGGGTTCCCTTTTCTCCCCTTTCTTCTCGTAGGCCGTCTCGTATGTTCCGTTGTCGCGCGAGGTTTGCATCCGCCGAAATGCTGCGCGCCGTCGAGGCGACGAACCGGAGAGGCGTCGATTTTTTAATTAGAATACGCGGCTGACATGAGCCGCACGTCTGCGAGCCGCTTTTACCATAAACCATGAGGGTTCATTTTTTATTTTTTATTTTTTTTTTTTTCGGAAGTGGGATTTCGATCCACACAAAGAATGATTTAATTTATAATTATTTACTGAGATAGGACACTATAACAAGACGTATCAACGATTTTACGACTAGATATTTAATGGAAATTATTATAATCATTTCGAGCAATACTATAACTATATATTAAGTATTTATGAATTGACATAAATGTATGTACTTGTATCATTGAATTATTATATAGAATGTATAGAGTATAATTGAAAAAAGCATATATGATGAAGCATCAAATTCTCTGATTAATTTGGAGACGATTTTTTCTCTTATTTAAAATGTCGAAGCATTTTTTTGTTATAAGTGATTGAAAAAGAAGGGCTTCTTGTAAAACTTTGTGAAGTTAAAATATTAACAAATTACCGAAATTCGTGAATCATTAATGACAGATTTCTAGGATTATTTGGAAACGATGTTTCCTCGGCAAAAATGTTGAGAAAGACCATCTTTTTTTGCATGTTCCCAATTTTTACCATCGATATGTATCATTCTTCAATTAATTTCAGATAGAATTTACTTTAATAGAATTTTAATTTAAGACTTACTTGAAGTTACATGAAAATATCTGCTAATAGCAAAAGTTGAGATCATGTAAAAATGATGATGACCTTCCTCAACATTTTCACTGAAAAAAAATCGTCTCCAAATTGACCAGAAAATTTATGATAGTGTTTCGAAAGTGTTATAAAAAGTTATGATCTATTTTTTTTCAATTACACCTTTTATATAATTAAATCTACAATTTAAAAAATATGCGATTAATACCGATTATAATCGATCTCGGTTGTAATTTTAAAAACTTCGATTAACTAATTTTTATATTCGTGTAAATGTCATGCCTAAATGTTGATTCGCTATTTTTTGCAGATAAAGATATGGTTCCAAAATAGACGAACCAAATGGAAAAGAAAGTACACTAATGATGTCGAATTATTGGCACAGCAATATTACTCGAGTCTAGGAATTCCAGCTCCACGACCTATTTTTGTTGGTGATCGCTTATGGTATTAATCTGAATATATCAAGAAATGTATTATTTTAAAAAATCTCCTTTTTTTATAAAAAAAATATATTATAATTAATAAATAAATTTTAATAAATAAACTAATTAAAAATATATATTTTGATATACGAGTATATTTGAGGCAAAATACTACTGTTTTTGATATATATATTAATTATTTTATATTTTTATATCAATGTACGATTAATGTATATACGTTTTTTTCATAGGTTTTTTAATTACCCGGGACAACCACAACCAGGAGTGTCATTGATCCCCCAACATTTAACACCGTTGCCTTTGCCTCCTGCATTACCAGTTATTCAACCATTGCCCAGTAATTTGTCGACGAGACAACAAACATCTATTTACCAAAATGTACCGATTAATCATCTCGCGCACCATCTTACTCAAAAATTGGACTTCAGGCATCAAGATGCTTAGTTTCAGGTAAACAAATGATTATATTGACGGACAATATCAAATATTAACATTTAAATTATTTGACATGCAGTATAATATTAACAAATTCAAAATGGAGATGTATTAGATTATAATTTGAGATATATGAATGTATAATATTAGGATTAATTTGAAAAAAATAGTATGCGTACATGTATGTAAAAAATAGATACAAAATAAGATAAAGAATAAAGTAAAAATTATGTGATAATTATCGATATATTTTTTATATATGCATTTATATTAAGGATACATAGAATATATATATATATATATACACATATATAAAATAAATAATTATATATATTTAAAATACTATTAGTAGTTAAATTATATGTATATATATATATATATATATATATATATATATATATATATATAACGGAACTTTTTTGACCAAAAATAATGATAATTTTTACATTTTAGATAAAATGCAAATAAATAGCAGCGCTGTGCAAGATTCTATTATAAAAAAAAATTATTTGAAGACTATCTACATAGGTTGTACAGTTATATAATTTTTTATTAATTATTAATTATTATATAAAATGTACAGATATTATAAAACAGAGGGAGATAATATTTTGTTAACTCCTAGTATTTTGTCGTCATAGGCCGCCTGATCCTGAATAATTTTTGCATATTTTTCATTGTCCAGTAAATCCTCTTCATCTAGCATTTCCTGCATTCTCTGCTTGTATCTAAAATTTCCCAATCTTGTAAAAACAACGTTCTTTAAAATATGATAATGGAACTATAAATAAATGTACTTACATTTCACTATCAGGATTATTTTCCTGGTTTCTGCATTTATCCAGTTTTTTCTCCAAAGCTTTCACTACTTCTCGCGACGGTGGTTCAACACATTTAGCCATTGAACGTATTTCTGTAAGAATCAATTTGTGGATACAGAGATAACTTGCATCATAAAAGCACATACAAATTCATGCATTATAAAATAAAATTACTTCGCACGGCCTCAATAATTCCTCCTAATTGCTCTCTTGAAAACAGTATATCAGTAACATAATTATCCAGATTTGCAGATGCTCTGGATGCTGCGTGCAAAGTTGCAGCTAATGCAACTTGACTTGGAGCATAAAGAAGAACACTGTCTGTGAGGAAAACTCTCTCTAGGAATTCATCTATATGTGGCCTTAATTTTTCAGGATTTTCTAAGGATGTGTACCTTGTCTAAAAAAACCATGTGCAATGTATTTATTCCTGTTATACAAAAAATGAAAAACAAAAATATATTTATATATCATATGTACCTTTATATCAATCATAAATCCTTCAACAGGCCTAAAAGGATTGTGGACTGTAAGATTATAATTCAAATGTTGCATGAGAAGCAATTCATTATTAATTATTATATCAGATGCTTTTTCCCTATCTCCTTTAATATTTGCAACAAATTGGGATATAGAGACATTAAATTCTTCAACCTGAAATCACAGAATTCGTATAAGAAAATTGAAATTGCAAATGTCATAGAAAATGATATACTAGGAAGAAAAATAATAAAATTACCTTGCATGCCAGGTAAACGCAAGTGACCAGGATTTCTTTTGGATGATAATCCATCACACTGTTCATAATGTAAAACCTTTTAAAATAATGTAAGGCAGTGGCTACTGTAGCACGAGGCATTGGTGGATTAAATCGACGACAGAAATCTCTTAATTGTAATTCGTAGAAACGGAGTAATGTACGCTCTTCTGTGTTCGACAGAAAATGTTCTTCCCTTTGTTCTGGCTATAATATAATAAAAAAAAACAATCATAATTACATTGTGCATAAAAAAAATTTTATTCAGTAAATATTTAACATTGCAGATAAATATAACAAATGTGCAATAATGATCAATTATATATAATATAATAATTAATATTATTTATATAACTTGTAATAATAACAATTAAATAATAGTAAACATAACCTATACATAACCTAAATTTTCGACATCAGCATTTCATCTCATAAATTAGTATACGTAGAAATAAAAACGTAATTTTTAAAATAATAAAATTGGACTGTAAAATTGATAAAAAAAATAGACTCACAGTCATGTTACTTCCATGTTTCGCAATAAATTCAGCATTGGTTTTCTCCCTCATAATGGTCAAATCATTTTCATCGCTGAACATCCAAAATTTCTTTTGCGAGCTCTGCGAAAACATCTTGATATCGCTTAATTAATAAACAAAGAACAGATCTGCTTAATTATCAAAATTGCTACGCAAATTGACGTTAGATTAAAATTATAAATTGCAGACACTCGTATAAACACATCGTTACTCGACAGCTTCAGCAGAACTGAAAACTGAAGTGTAGAGTCATATAATAAAACATTTTGGTGTATAAAAATTTTACATGTATTTTTTCACAGAAAAAAGGGGAATATAATTTATTTAAAAATATATATCTTATTGCATGCATAATAAAAAAATATGAAGAAATTGTCATTTGACAGATGTTTATTCTTTGTCGAATAGGTAGGAATCTGCTAAGAAATTGAGGAACTATTTGAGTAAATTGATTCTAGAGTGCAGCACAAATCACGTTTTCACATTCAAACGAAATTGCGATAAATCAAGGGCTCGCTCAGGTTCTGCACGTTTTCTTGTTCACGTTTTTATTCTTCCGGAAAAAAATAGTGCATCATGTACACAAGATATTTGCATTCAAGAATTATTCACGCATCAGAGAACTATAGGTATGTGCATAAAAATTATATAATGACAATTATAGGTTCTAATACAGAGTAGAAAAAATGTAATTTTTATTTTCATTGAGATTTATAATATTTAAGTATGCGATTTATGTCATAATCATTGAAGAATTATTACTCATGATTCGTATGCATGCATATACTTATACTTTTTCATACATACAATTTTGAGAAGGAAAATATATTTTTATATCTTTATATTTCGTTTTGTTGTAAGTATAAAGTGCCTATATAAAGATATTATAATAAGAAAGAAGAGTTTCTACAAAATTACTTATTGGTTAATATTTTAGAAATAATTGGATTACAATTTTATTTTTCAGGTAGCAAGCATATGCATTTTGACATTTAATGACGTCATTAGACATCAAAATGACACTTTGACATTTAACGGCATCAGTCTTGCTACTTCCCTATAAGCGCATGATATTATTTAATATTCTAGACGTATTCTTAGAATATTAAATATTAAATATATCTAAATAATAAATTTATTCTAATAAAAATTAATCTAACTTAAATATTAAATAATATCATGCGCTTATAGGGTTGGGTTCTTATTTTAATGGGAAGAGGAGAGATTTTAATCCCAATCCCTTCTCCCTTTACCAAGATTATGCTAGTGCGATTATCAAATTTATAATAATGATGATATTGTTGCCATAAATAAATATGCAGGTCTTTAATTAATTCTAGAAAAACAAACATTATAACTATAAAAATACAATTTCAGAAAAAAAATACAGTTTTTTATATCTTTATATTTCGATCTTTTTGTTGTAAAGTGTCGCATAAAAGTTAATAAAAAAAAAGGTTTCTGCAAAATTATTTTAATATTTTAGAAATAATTAGATTACAATATTTGTTTCCCAGGTAGCAATAAGCATATACGTCATTTTCACGTTTAATGACATAAGTTTGCTACTTGCGAGTTTTTTTAATATGGAAGGAGGGAGATTTTAATCCCAAATCTCCTTCCTTCAGAATTTCCGCTAGTGATTATACTTATCAAATTTACAATAATGATAATTGTTGCCAATTTGCTGTTATCTATATAAGTAAATCTAGATGAAATTTTGACGTCATCTTATCTTTATATAGATAATAAAAATATATATTATCTGCATCTTAAATGAGAAAAGTGTTATCTTTATTAAAAATTATTTAGAACAATGTTCATATAATTTGCTTTAGTCATAATAACACATAAAAATACTTTAGTATTTTTATTAAATAGTAGAACTTAAACAGTAAGCGATAAAAATTTACAATTAAAAGTATACGAATATATTTTTATATCCCTCTTATAATTTACATTTTTTGAAATAACTATGTTTACCATATATTTATACACGCGCATATAAACAATTTTAAAAATAATGTTGTGTAGAAAAATTATCTAAAAAAATCGCTATATAATTTTATCTTTTATCTACATACATATATTTCAATTCAAAATCATCTTCATCTTATCTAAGATGAATTTACATATTTTAATCTCAATCTAGATAATTTTAAAATCATCTAAGCATAACACTGTATTTGTTGCCATATATAAATTAATTTGAGAAAAACAAACTATAAAAATTCAGTTAAATCAAGTTATAAACTTATAGTTAACTTACAAAGTTAGCTATAAAAATCAAACTTTATATTAATGAATAATCGATAACCATATATATATATATATATATATCCAAACAACGTCATGTCGCGCCAGCTGCATCGCAATAACATACGTCGGGAAAGGGTTGCCGCGTTTTCTGGCAACTTTGAAACATGTACGGCGCGAGGGTAATAAACAAGATCGCGGGACAAGGTGGTGGGACACGACGGGGGATAAAGAGAGGGATGAAGAAAGGGAAGGAGAGAGACGGGTGGCCGATTTTAATATGGACGCCCCCGCAAGCGGTTGTGCGTCCGATCTGAGTAGGCGTTCCTACGACCCTTTGTCAACCGACAACGCCGCTGCATCTTATCGCGATCGCAGGTCGGGGATCTCTCATTCCTCTTCTCCATCCAGGTTCTCTTCGGGGTCCCTCGAGGCCATCGCGCTATCGCTGCCGCGCTTGTTCAAGCAGAGAGACGTCGTGGGCCTTCCTCGTTACACATCGACGGCTATAACTCTCCACGTCGTTTCTTCCACGTCGCTAGTCGCTATATGTCGCCTTCGACATCGTCGTTGTTGTCACGTCGCGATCTGGCTCCCCGATCTGGCCCTCCCTGGTACCCGGTTGCATATCGATCGGAGATAGAAACTGGTTCAGATGCTTGTCACGAATTTTTACATATATACGCAGCTCGCGTGGGTAGAGACGCAAAATCTGATTTACGACTTTCCAGGTTTTTTGATTGGATAATTGTATTTGACGGGAAAGAGAGAAAGAGAGGGAGGCGATAAATTAATACTTATGCGGGTTCGTAATTACTGATTTGCTTTTTGTTTATTTAATGTAGATCTTGTACAGATAGATATATCTAATTCCTTATTACGTCTCAATATTATTTATTTTTTTTTAATTATACAAAGAAAAACCTGATCCAATTTGAAACTAACATAGGTAATGCTTAATTTTTTTCTCAGAAACTATTTATTCAATAGGTTTGAATTTTACATACAATTTAATATATGCATGTTTCTTCTTTACATATATTATTCTTCAACATAACTTCTATATCCTTACGTTAACATACAAGTGCATGTTTGCCTTTACAGTATCAGCTCTTTTCTGTTCATATATGTAGCTGTGAATCGCGTCCTCATCAACCTCAAATCTTGTACCGCAGAGATATCTTTAAGTGGTCTAAAAAGATATGTATTTCGGAAATCGCAAGGAGCTAGATCAGGATTATAGGAAAGTACAGTTTAGGTGATTACTTCTGATATTCCAACTTTTTGGATCACTTAAAGATGTTCCTCGAGACACAATTTGGGTTCCAATAAAGGCAAACATGCACTTGTATTGTGCTGAAATAGGACTACAAAAGTTAATGAAAATTATGTTGAAATATAAATATTATATGTAAAGAGAAAACATCCATGTATATTGTGTGCGTAAATTTCAAATCTGGTGAATAGTTTCTAAAAAAAAACGTGAGGCACTAATTTCCTGAATAACTCTAATATACAGTAATATATGTCCTATACTCAATGAATCACTGATGTGCAGTTTAATTCCCGACTTATTTATTTGAAGATGATTTTTTCTCAGTGAATAGTTGAGGAAGGTCATCATTTATTGCATGTTCCTAATTTCTGCCATCACGTATCTTTATAACTAAGTCTTAAATTAAAATTCTATTAAAGTAACCTGAAATTACCTGAAGAATTTTGGTGAATTGTTAATATTTTATTTCCACAAGACTTAGTTTGCGAAAATCCCTTTATTTTCAATTCACTTGTATCTTGAAAATGATATGCCTCGACATTTTTGCTGAGGAAAAATCATCCCCAAATAATGTCAAGAACTGTAAATCAGTGATTCGCTGAATACGGAACATCCTGTATAAAAATAAGCTGTTTTGTTTCTGAACAACCTAATATTGTGTAATATATGTCCTATACTCAATAAATTATTGATATACAGTTAGATTCCCGACGTCATTTGAAGATGATTTTTCCTCAGTGAATACGTTGAGGAAGGTCATCATTTATCGCATGTTCCTAATTTCTGCCATCACGTATCTTTATAACTAAGTCTCAAATTAAAATTCTATTAAAGTAACCTGAAATCACCTGAAGAATTGTGGTGAATTGTTAATATATTTTATTTCCATAAGACTTAGTTTGCGAAAAACCCTTTAATATTTTCAATTCGTGTGTATCTTGAAGATGATTGGTGCCTTGACATTTTCGTCGAGGAAAAATCATCCCCAAATGATGTCAGGAACTGTAAATCGATTGCGAGTGATTCGCTGGATACGGAATATCCTGTATAAAAATAAGCTGTTTTGTTTTCTTGCGACGCAATTTCTTAACATATTACAATGCACAGTTGTCATTCATGTCAAGGACTCACGTTATCGATTCGCTGTATCAGCAACATTTAATGGCGACACTCTCTCTTTCTCGAACTCGGCTATACATAAACATTGAACAGGTAAACTATCGAATTCAAGTCGGCTAATTGACGAAAATCCACCGACTAATCGACGGGATTGATTCGAAGGAGCTTAATTCCCGTGAAGATTCCATGATGGGCGCCCACCAAAAGTGAAGTACATCCGCCATTAATCTAATATTGCGGTCGCCGCCGCCCTCGAGGTTGCGTGCCGCAAAACCTGGCCGCGTCAAGCTTCGCTCCCTTTTGTACGAATGGAGTTGCGAGAGCACGTGAACGTGCACACGTGCTAGCTGTGTGTACATATCGTCGACATCGACGAGGAAGAGAAGGAGAGGACTTGGAATGGGCGCGATATGCGATGCCCTGGTCGCACTAATGCGAAATCAATGCCCGGCCTCTCTGGCTCGCGAGGTGTGACGAATAAAGTGGATTACCTTCGCACCTTCCATAGTCACGGCGCAATCAAGAGAAGAACTTTCCAGCGAATAGGAAGAAACTATAATAAATTACTATTCCCCATGGCGGCAACCTGGAC